TAGTTTTCAGTAAAACATATTTCTCTGCGTGACCTATTTGTTATGTGTTATTTCTGACTCATACGTCTGTTAGCAGTAGAAAAGCCTTCTGTCTGGGTATAATAGCTGCTCTCTGCTGGGTCACAGAGTTGTTGTTGTTTGGAGCCACAGTGACAGTTGGTCTGTCGCTTGGTTTGAAAAAATGCCTGTGGGGATAGTCAGTGGTGTAAGGTACTGTCACTGTGTAAATACATTGATTTTCCCCCTCTCTATTCCCACTGACACAGTTGACCACTGTCACGTGAAGGTTTTGCCAAACAGACTCTGTTTCTGCATGAAAGTGTGTTTCCGTCTCTGGTGCTTTAACGGTCACTCTGCTGTCTTTGGCAGGCGTCCAAGTTTAAGGTGTGTTTTATTTGCATGGGTTACACCCACTCATTACTCGCCTGTGAAGGGAAGTTATTGGTTGGCTTTTGTTTTTCTATTTTCCTCTTTTCAAACGTAAAGGAAAAGTCAGTTACAGCTGCTGGATTTGTGCCAGCTGGATTAGCCAGTTGAATTTAGTTGACAAATGTTGGAACCAATCCAAACTGATAGACGCAGCCATCTGTGCAGTGATTGGTCTGTTTAAACCTGCTTGCGTTAGAGCAGGTAGAAGTCATGATGAAGCTTAAAATAGGTTTCTTTTTCAGAAATAGCCGGTGCCTCACTTTTAGTAGGAGGTTGCAGATTGTTCAGGCAACAGTACGTGACTATATGGATTTAATTTAGATGCATGGCTCTGCCCATACCATCAAGCCCCTTGATGCGTTTAGTATGGTGCTCTTAGGTTTATTAAGGGTCACAGATTAAGGATCCTTCATTGTATCCTCTGTGAGGAGGTAGGGCGTCCATCATTTACCACTGGAATTCACAAGACTGCATTACCTTGGAGATCCCATATGTGAATACATAACTGGGGGGAAACTCCATTCACCTATTATGCTCCTCTTTGGTGGAATAATCTTCAAGACTCCCTCAAAATGGACAAATTTTAGACCTCACAACAGTTTAAGCTTCTATTAAGCAATGCTTTACAGCAGGGGTGTTAAACATACGACCCATGGGCCAGAACAGGTCCGCCAAAGGGTCCAATCCGGCCCTTTAGATGACTAGACTAAGAGGTGCCAGGTTTCAGGAGCAAGGTAAACAATGCATTGCCTACATCATGTCAAATTCTTCTTCAGAGGCTTTTCCCCTGACCAGAATACAGTCCACTGATATAACAATGAATACTTACTGTGACCATGTTTAAAGATATTGAACATTGTGCAACATATTGTCAGTCAGCAGCTTCAGTTCAAAAGAATCAGTATCAGGAAATGTGTTGATAAATGCACATGTAATGACAGTGAGAAGTCGACTGACTGGATGTGGAGAAACTGAGACATACTGTTGAAATTGCACTTAATTTTCTTAAGATGTCTCAGGCTATTAATCTTCTTTGTAAAATTATGAAAGTCTACGTAATTCTTGTAACTCTTTACACAAAAAAGGGAAAATATTGGAGCTGATGGTACTGAAAGGTTATTGAGCAGATGGTCCGGCCCATCCGAAATCAAATTGGGCTGGATGTGTATCTGCAGGACACCATTGCAAAGGAGAGTTTTGCTTTCAAATTGGCTTCCCCTGATTAAATAAAGGTTATCTATTTACATGCAGGCATTGTTTTTCATCTCTTTTCCTCACATCAGGATTCAGGCTTGTATTTAAAAAGATTACTGTAACTGATTTCGACAGTTCTGCAGCCTGTCACATGCTCTGACTTTAGGAGTCGCCCTTGTCTGTCGAGCATTTTCCAGTGAAGAAGAAGAAGCTTTATTGTCATTGTACACACGATACAACGAAACTTTGTTTGGCAGCAATTCCTGTTCCTGTTCATCTTGCTTTATCTTTAAACTGATAGGCACAGAAAAAGGCCAAAGTATGCAGTCTGTTTTTAAATGCTGATGAGAAGTTATTGTTTTAGATTAGAGGCCCAGGCCTGAGGCTGTTCTGTTATATCTCAATAATGAATAAATAAATCAGTCATCCCCTAAAACTTGGCAGCGTATCTGCTGTATAATCATATCATGACATTCATTTAGCAGTAAGCTTGACAGTGTGGTAACGGAGTACTCCCTCGAGTGTTTGGTTAGTGTGTGTATGTGTGTGTGTGTGTGTGTGTGTGTGTGTGTGTGTAGGCATGTGAGAGAGAGAGACACTGGGCAGTAATAGAAATAAGCAAGCGCGTTCTCATTTCCTCAAAAACTCTGACGCTCCCGGTCATTGTATCATCTCACTGCTGGGCTGGACCCAGCTCCAGTTCGTGATCGTCAGATTTCACTTCCATCTCTTTCCTAGTGAGTCAGCAGGAATGTGAGGAATGACCCGTGTGAGGCCTGGCCCTTTCCCACCCAGCTCTCATCTGCCCATTTTTAGTCATAGCCGAGTCCAGCTTCTCTCTCATTTTTCTCCTTTTCACTTTGTCATCCTTTCTCCCTGTTGCTGCTTTACTTTCCCCTCTTATCCTTACCCCCCCTCCTTGTGGGCTTTCTTCTGAACTTTTCAGAGCACTTTCTCCTCTTACCCGTTATTTTCAGCCAGCTCAGCACTTTAGATTTCCACAAATTACAGTATATAGGAGAGCCCCTCTGAGCTAGTGCAGCTCAGGCCACATATTTCAACAAACCACAGTGAGACCTCAAAACCACTGGCCTCTTCATCTCTCATGAGACCCCCCCCCCCTTCTTCCTTCTCCTCCTCCAGGCCCAGCAGCATCAACCCCCTTTCAACCCACCAGGGTGCAGGGCTTAGCTTAACAACCACATCCAGCTCCCTCTAGTAGAAACCAGTTGGCATACAAAGGTGTCTCAACTCTGCAGGTTTTAACTGGTGCAGCAGGAAGCCTTAAAGTGTGTGTTTGTGCGTGAAGTGTATCAGAAAGGCCTGCCAGTGTAGCAGGAGCCGCTCATCTCTGCATGTGTTGACAGGTTCCCGCTGTCGACCAGAAGAGAGATCTGTCTCTTATATGTCAGGAGAGGGCTCCCTCCACCCTCCCATGCTCACGGCTGTCGCTAACATGAAAGCACCCAGCTCGCTGACTGGCTCGTCTGTCTGCAGGCGTGCTTTTATACACACACTCGCACACCTTAATTACTCCTCTTTTGCTTGAAAAATAAACCCTTTAACTAATGCCCACTCGGAGTGATGAAATGGCTCAGTGAGTGTTTAAAATGAGCCACTTCTGAGTGCCCGGGGCCTCCTGCAGCCCGGCTACTGTTCAACCAAGATGAATTACAACGAGAGAAGAAGACACCTGGGCGATAGGTCGACCCGCAGAGCTGAACGCACTTCTTTCTTATAGCTGAGCACCAGCTGTTGGCGTGCCTGTTTTTCATCCTCCGCTCCTTGCTCAGTTGGTTCTGTCCTTTCACATTAGTGAAGTCAGATCACTTGTCATCACCAATCGATAAGCTGCTCATCAGCCCTGCTGCCCCTGTAACTCCCTAACACACATTTAAAACTAAGCCAGGGCTGTTTAGTCAAACACTGTCTGCATGTCACACACCTGATGGTACTATGTTTATTATCTGGCAGCTGTGACTCTGGTCAGGCTGAGTATGCAGCCATGCTAGCGCCTCTGTGAGGCTGAATTGAGGCACTGCATGACTTTGAGCTCACATACTTACATGCTCTCAGTGACAATGCTAACTTTGTGATGAACCACAGATGTCAACCTGCTGTGTGTGGTAGAGTAAAAGTCTTGAGATGAACAAAGCCAGTAGGCAGGGTACCCTCAGATCATTATAGAGATCTGTAGATCTAAAAATAAGGCCTTAATTGATATTTAAATTTCTTAAGTCGGTCTTTCAAAAGTCTTAAAAATGCTAAGACATCGGAAGTGGGATTTTATTCATCTTTTTTCCCAATATTGCATTTTAAAATCTCAACATAATCAATAACATTTAATTTTTAAAAAATAATTTACCAAATGCCTCTCGCATGGTCAGGATAGCAAACACAAGTAACACTCATATTTTGTTTCTGGCTGGGAGATCGGCCACATTTGACAGCATGGCTGAAACCTGTAAAGGGTAATGCGTACAATGTTTGGTGTATTTTATGGATAAGTTTAAACTCAGTCAGTACAATGGGAATCAAGGCAGTGGAATCCCACATGTAGAGTAAGAAACACAAAATTGCAAAGAAAACTCGCCAGCAAACATCAGGCATTTCCCAGTTCTGTTCTACCCTCGTCTCCACCTCGGGACAAAAAAAGTCATGTTTATGTTAAAAGAAACTTTTGGCTAAAATTGTCCCTTCTCTAAGTAATTGATGTCTGTCCATGTCTTTTCCTTTCAATTTTGCGTTTTGTAAAATTTGTCAGATTTCACTTCAAGTGGCAATAAAAGTTTAAAAAGTTTAAAACTCTATCTTGCCGTAAGCTGTAGGAGCCCTGCTAGGGATCATCTGCTTGAGAACATGACTGAATTTCACAGCAATCTCTCCAACAGTTGTTACATTTCAGCCGACAGACCAACATTGCTATCCCCAGAGCCAAGCTGCTACCATGGCTAAAAATCATAAAACTTTTTATGATACTCTGGCTGGACATCTGTGTGTTAGAGCAAGTTGGCTCACAGTCTGCCGCTTCTTGTAAACAAATACATTATTGTCCTTGTTTGACAGCGTTAATTACAGGGGGCAAAACTCAGTGACTGAGCTACGACTCCACGCTATGAGCCCTACAGTTCTGCTTATTCACCGCCCTGTACTTACACTCAAAACAAGCCTGTGACCCTTTGCTGTAGCAGCGGATGCTTATATAACTGTGTGGCCATTTTCTGACCATGCTCCCGCAGGGTACTGGCTCATAGATGCAAATATATGAGTGACAAGTGGATATTCTTTGCAAGACAAATGTGTGGTGTCCTGCTGTGTTAGCGTGCTTCTAACACTTGCTTTTGCCTTCATGCTCTCTTTCGTCTTTTTATGTGCAGCTGGATGGAACCGTGGATCTGGACGAGAGACGCCTCATCCGTTCAGCCATCCGGGAGTTGAGGAGGAGGGAGATTGAGGACATGGAGGCTGCTCTGGCCAGCAAGAGATTTCGACCCACACGCCTCAAACAGCAGGAAGACAAGGAGAACCAGCACAGGTGGGCCCACACACACACATACACACACAGAGACCTGTCCTCATGACAAACTGCGTCAGTCCAGGTGAACTGGAGATGCTGACAAAACAAAACCCAGATGCAGCATTCCTCAACTCCAGTGGGGAAAAAAGAAAAGTCTGGAAAAGTCAGAAAACTGCAACCACAGTAAATTTTCCATTTTCCAATGTGCATGCACATTTCACAGTAAATGGTTTCGCTTTAAAAAATGTGTCCTTATGTCACATTCCCTCAAATGAGAGTCAGACTGAAGGAGTTTTTCTTTGCTCATGTGCTTGTCTCACTCAGAGCCTTCTAAGTGTTTTTCCAGTTCAGTAACACAATCCCAACTCCTGTCATTCAGCTGAGGACAATCTGATAACTTGGCTCTAATACCACCTTCACCATTTTGTCAATAAACATGTTTTTTGCTGGCTGGGTGAGAAACCGGACAGACAGACTGTAGTTATCATGGTAGATCATCTTGGTGTTACTGTAAACAATGTGATCTGTATTTTAAAGAGGCTTAGTGGACTGTAAGTCCTCATCAAACCTCATGTTACTTTTACTAATACTGTTAGATAAAGATATTAAACTATTTTTAGGGGTGATTTATGTAATTTGGGTCATCAATACAGGCTTTTTCTAATGAACTTGGGCAAACATATCACAACTGATTGGCTCTGGCTCCAATTTGCAACATATAACCTTCAAAACTTACATCAAGCAGGTTTTACCAACAAGATTCGCCGGCAACTTTTAAGGTGGAATGTTTACTTGTAATGTTACTCAATGCATGAGGTGATGACATGAATCAATCCACTCACCTTAAATTTCTGTGACAACTTTGACCATTACTTTAGTTTTTATATGACATACACTTTTAGTAATGAGTAGATCTTCAAGAGTTTATGTATATTAATTTCCCAGCACCTGACTGTCTCACAGAAAACGGGCCAACTCTGTGTCACTCTTCATCCTCTTCTTCAGTGCTCACCAGTGAAAGTGAAAGCCAACCTCAGATTCACTCTCATTTTAGAACTTGCTCTGTCTGCTTGCCATTTTGCCTCGCTATATTTGTGTTTTTTCTGTGCTATGTGTGAGATTTTTGTAGCCTCCTCTTGGATGCATGCTGCTTACCGTCTGGTATCTTGTTGCCACCAAGTCCCCACCTCACCTGTGCGCTGTTTAGGCTGGAAGCTACACGCACATAAACATCCTGAACGCAGCGAAATGATAAAAAAATAAGAATATACAGGCAGAGGGCAGAGTCTCTGCAGATAAATACGCCACACACTTCTAGTGGGTCATAAGTGAAGATTTAGAGACATTACTTTTGTATGAGTGTATGCGTTTTTAGGAAAACCTGTGTCGTATACCTTTAAAGCTTTGATGGTCTTAAGTTCATTCTCCGTGTGGATGAGATAAGCTCTGCAGGTCAGGATGGACTGAGCCTTGTAACAGGTGTTAATTAATTAATGCTTGGATTGGAGCACAGCAAAGATTTAACACAATTGGATGTGAAGCGAATACTCAACCTTCTGCTGTCGTTCTCTCTCTCTGTCACCGGATCCCATTAATACCAGTGGCCGGGCCTAATCATTTCCATTCACTGCTGCTCTCAGAAGACTTTGGTTACAATAATAAGGCCTCGCTGACGCTGCTAGAGAAAGCATACCTAGAAAGACACGCACACACACACACACACACACACACACACACACACACACACACACACACACACACACACAGAAGTGGTCTGAAAGTTGCATTATCCCGTGCCTCTCAGTGGTGGAATGTGAAATATTCCACTCCGACGTGCCACACATCCTTTAATACCAACGACTGGAGGAGGCGAAGATAATGAGAGCACTGGAGGAGCATATGAGTAATAGAAACCAACGTAAGAGTGAGCAGTGAATGGAGAAAAATGAGGCTGAAAAGAGGGGAGGATGAGAGCTGCCTTTTTTAGGCACTGTGTGTCATTGCCGTCAAATCTGTTATGAGTATCATTTTTTCCACGCTCGATTTGGGAGCGATTTCTCTGATGAATTATCTTGGAATTGTCTTCTGCTGCCTTTCACACGCACAGAGAGGCCTCAGGGTGAAGTCAGCTCAATTTGTATTTGGGTATTTCAAGATGCTGTAATTTCCCATTTTGTCTCTTGCTGCATGAGGACAAGGTGGTCAGTCATAATGACCATTATATATTAACTTCACTGTCTCTCTCTCTTTCTTTCTCTCAGGTCTGAATCCAGCGACAACTTGGACGTGCTGTCACAAAAACTGCAATCAATCCAGGACATCGATGAGCTCACGAAAATGGTGAGTAGTAACGGCCAAAAAATCATGAAATATGGTTACGCTGCATGCTTATCCTGTGTGCACTGAAAATGTGTGTGTGTGTTTTTGTGTGAAGCTCCGTGCTGCCAGTGAGTACGAGGAGAGGAAGATGATCAGAGCAGCCATCCGTCAAGTCCGAGATGAACAGCAGCAAGGTGAGTCCAGCTGTGTCTGTTTAATATAAGACCACATGAAACTTGGAAAAACACATATGTGACACCAGCTGTGTGACTGTACCAAAAAATGATTTTTGTCACTGTGTTCTGGCATAGTTGTGACTTAAAGTGATAAGTGTGAAGACGGTGCTGTAAAGACATAGTTAAAGGTCTAAATGTCAGAATTTGAAAAGCCATCATTATGTTATGGATGACAGAAAACTTGCGACACACATTTATTAATTCTTAAAGGAATACTGCTAACCCCAAATGATTATTTGTATATCAGTAACTCATCTTGTGTTATGCTGACCGTCTCCACAGTGAATGAAGAATCTAAAAAAGGAGAAAATTCTTGATGAATTAAAGTCAAAGGGCCTCTGCGTTTAACAACAGCAAAACTAGATCAAAACATCTGTCATCATCTCACACAACTTGTGCAGTGTAATCTAAGTCTCATTTATCCAGTCGTATGCTCAGTACCTCACGAATGAATGCGTTTTCACTGAAACCTTACTCTTCCATGCATGAGAATGTGTATCAGTAGTGTTTCTGCTGCACTGCACTGTTTTTGCTGAGGTTTTAGCAAAGATGCATGTGTTTGGGAAGTACTGAGCATGTGACTGGATAAATGAAACTTGGATTATGTTGCGCAAGTTGGTAGAGAGTTTTTAATATTTTGATATAGATTTGCTGGTGTAAAGGCCTTTGCACACTGAGTCAGTTTTTTCTGTCCGAAATTATTGCATGTCTAGAATAATTATGACCTCACATTGTGTCGATCACATTTGTACACTGAGTCTGAAACTGCATCCGTCAGAAGCCTTTAGAGACTTTTGACCTATAATCAGTGAAGAAAATGTGGCGTAAATGTAACATCCGTGACAAGGCAGAGGCACAAGGGCGCACAGACTCATCTCATAACTCAGATAGCTACTTTTAACAGGTCAGATAGTAATATTCAGGTGGATGATGATGAAGAGGAGGATGTGGACCGCACACAGAATGTGGAGACAGAAAGGGAGGACAGATCCGCCTCTTCACGCAGCTGCTGTGTCAAAGAAAAGACAAGGAGGGAGTGATGACAGACAGATACTCAAGTGGAGAGAGGCAAAGGAGGAAATGTGTCTTTTCATTTTGTCACGTATTGCAAATGTTCACAATAAATAGAACAATAAAACTCATCAGAATCAGTGTGCAAGGTTTCTGTGAGTGATGATTCTTTTTGGATGACATGTAAAAAAACATCCGGAAAAAAACAGACTCAGTGTGCAAATGCCTTTAACCACGGACCCCTATGACTTGAATTTATCAAGAATTTCCTCTTTTTGGATTTTTCGTTTTCTTAAGAAATTCACAGTATCACTGGGTTAGTAACTGATATACAAGTGATCATTTGGGGGGTGAAGTATTCCTTTAGAGGTCAAAATATCAGAATTTTAGAGGCCGTAATTATGTTTTAATTGAGAGAAAACTTGCAACACACATCTCTCAGTCCTTAAAGGCATGACTTTATTAGATTAAGACACTGTAAGCCAAAAAATTTAAAAAATGTAACTCAGTATTTTAAGTATGATGTTACATCCTGGACACCACCACTCCAATCTGGATGACATTAAGAGAAATTATGTGTTTTGGCCTCAAATTCTGGCTGTTAATAAATAACAGCACTGATTGGCCTGATGAGGGCGCTCAAATTACAGGTAAAAAAAATTACTGTGAAGGCCATTGCTGCCAGTTTCATTTTCATTTACCACCTTGTAGTTGTTTTTAAGGGAACTTTGGGGGAGGAATACATAGTGTTAATGTGTATGCAGGAATCAGGTGGGAGAGATAGCGGACTATCTGTGGTCACCATAGTTACTGTGGCAGATCTACCTATGATGCTGGATCAGATAGTGGATTCCTGTCATTCCTTAGTGCTGTCTGGTCTGCGTGAAGACCCTGTCACTCTGAAACTCTGTGGTGCAGCCTCCTCCTGTGGGGTCATGTCAGGACACCTCAAATAATCCTGTCCTCTGTCGCCTAAGCTTGTCTCCCATCTGTGTTTGATCTTTTCCTAATTTCACAAATGACCACATGTTTGACATCAGATGGGATAATGAGTCGCTTACTTCATTCTAATTACCGTACCACTCCTGTGTTTCTAGGGACTGTGGAGCGGGGTAAAACTCTGGGTCGCTGCGGGGAGCCTGAGAGTGTTGAGCCTCAGAGCACCATGGGAACCGGGGTGAGTAAATAGACATTACAGCTGATGGGAAAACTTGTCTCTAGTCTATTACTCACTCCTGTCAGCTTCCATTTGCAAAAATTAACCCAAGCACAGACCAATTTGAGGAGTTTGTTTGCATGGCAACAGTGACCACTGAAGTTTCTCTGCGGCCACAATGAAGAATGCAGCAAACAACAACAAGAAGCATTGTGACTTGAGTCACACACACACTGTGTCATGAATGTGGCTACACCACACATACACACACAAAACACATGCTTTGGCTGCCACGGAGCAAAGAATGTGCTTTTGTTTCTTACATCCTCATTCAGGTTTGGCCAAGTATGAGCAGAAAGATAAAATTTACTTTGAGCCTGGTGTTTAGTGAAGGCAGTAAATAGTTTTTGACAGGGGCTGTCTCGCAGACACTGTCATTTTGCACGTCTGTCTGTCCGGCCTTTAACACTTTGAGACAGTTGCACGCTGATATTTAAAATTTAGAGTGAAGAGACGAGAGGTTCAAAGAACTTAAAGACTTTAAATTTAATCTGATCTGATTTGATCAAGTAGTTCTGATGGCCAGCATCATATGTTTCTGACTCCCTCCTCAGTCACTCTCTAAACCTCCAGACTTCAGTCTCCTCTCAGCTGGCCGGCCCTCTGGTGGATGATAACAGACTGTGTTTTCAGAGTTGAACTAAACTTTTATCTTTTTGAGCATAACTGATTGAATTATATGGTAGTTGCAGTGAACAGGATCTGAAGACATGACATGAGGCTTAACTGTTTGGAAGAGCCTGCCAGGAGCCAGATGTTATCTTATCAGCTGTGTTTGATTCCAGTTTTTTTTTATTTTTTTATATGTGTTTTTTGATAAATGCTCTATTTACAGTGGATGAGATTTCTGTGGATGAAAACAAAGTTAATTCTTACTGTATGCGGCCACTGTTGTTGTTGTAACTCAAGCCTTTTGAGTGATGAAGAATGGAGGAACAGCTATCTATGCTTTTAGGGGAAAATACAATCAGTGGCCTTATCAGAGTTCTGGTGGTTTCTGTTAAAGCCTGCCACAGTGACGTAAAGGCCCTAATGCACCAAACTGACTTCAGAAAACTAGCACAGACAAAGGCCTCCTGCTGAGGTGCCTGATGTCACTGTGTCTTGGCCAAAAAAGTTGCATATGCACACACCGCAAAGACCAGAGCCAACGGCCAACCAGCACATACGTTCTGCGCCTGCGTGACAGCAACAGACAGTAGTAGTCTATAATCATCAGTCAAAAAGGGAAACCAGAAGAGCGTTTCAAGGCTAGTTAGCCAGTTAGCACATCAACAACCATGTTGACAAAACAGAGTATATTTCAGTGCACCAGTGAACAATAACACAAAACATTGTGAAAGGCTTTTGCTTAAGAGCTCGTGGTTAAAGAAAAATAATTACCTTATGTAACAAATTTGTGTTGGTCTCACTCCCTCCTGACTTGAGCTCTTTGTTTACTTTCCTCACTTCTGTTTCTGTTCTTGTGCACTGAGCTGAACTGCCAATCACAGTAACTTTATTCGCCAATGGGCTCTGCTGTCGCCGACTCAACATGCTGAATCAGCCAAAAAAAGTAGACAATAGGCAATGGTGCAGGACACACCCTACAGACTAGGGCGACGGATGCTCACCGATGGCCCAACATTGACCATTGACCGATGGTCAGCTTGGTGTGTGAGGGCCTTAAAGTGGGAGAAATGAATGGTTGTTAGCATCTGTTCCATTGTCTGTTGCAGCCTGTGCTTTGCTTGTGTGCTGTTGGGGTGTGTGTGTGTGTGTGTGTGTGTGTGTGTGTGTGTGTGTTCTCCTCAGATAGGAAGCGTCACAGGATGCTCTAACATTCAAGCCTTTTTTACCTCACTTCCTGTAAGACAGCTGAGCTGTACGGCGGTGAACTTGTGAGCTACAGTACAGGTGGTGTAATGGATGAGGTGGGGGGGCAGGAGGGCTGGATGGTGAGGGGGCGGGGCGGGGTTGGGGGGGAATTGGGACAGACAGTCAGGCAGCCCACCAGCTGTGCCTCAGTAGCCCATAGTCTGCACTGGAATGGGGACGTGGCCAAAAACAACATCAGCCAGCAACAGCAGGGCTCCTTCCATACACATCACAGCAGCAGATCTCTTTGAGCTGCGTGCGATTGTCCCATGGCAGATGGAGGTCCTAGATAGGCCTCCACAGCAGCCAAACACACACGTATACACACACACATGCAATATGTGTACACTGCCAGCAGCTTGAAACAAACACCAGCTCCAGAAATCGAGTAACGAAAACTTAAAATGGAATTTTAAGCCGTAATTTTTACCAGAGTCCGACACCCATTAGGAGGCAATGACTGTGTTTAATGGCCGTGTTTTAATGACACGCGAGGATAGCTGGCATACAGTAAAAGTTTCCCTTTGGTAATTTGAGGGAAACCATACTGTAACAGTTTATTAAAAAAAACTTTAATTATATGTATGTAGCAGAGAGAATGCCTGTCGGAAAAAGGATAAAAAATATTCAATAATTTAAATGAGGTTCTTTTACAGTAAAATACACCCTCTTGTCTAAAGTAATACAGCAGTTAGAGGACTGGAAAAAATAGGTCAAAACAAAGCGAGTGTGTCAGAAGTTAATGTGTCAACCAGGCAGCCCTTTAACCTGTAAGAAGTGTGTGTGTGTGTGTGTGTGTGTGTGTGTGGTGGGGGTCAGATCCCACTGGAGACAGAATGGGAGGGAGGGGAAGTCAAGGGAGTGGCTTGTCGGTGTTATGTGTGTGTGTGTATGTGGTGTTGGTGGCAGTGGTGTGTGTGAGTGTGTGTGTGTGATGTGGCTGAGGGAGTAAAGCGTCAGAGTAGCGGATGTCCTACTCCTTGAGGGTGACTGCTGACAGAGAGAGAGAGAGAGAGAGAGGGAGATAGAGCGAGAGAAGGAGGCAGTCGGGTCAGTGAAAAGAAGGTAAATGTCATTCAGATTTTCTCTGCTGTCGTGTGTCACAGACCAATCTCTCCTCTCTGACTGTCTTTATACTTTTTAATCCGAGAGACCATTTAAACAATTTTTCATCATCAGTCCTGTCTTGTTTCTGTGTGACTGAAGAATGGGACGTACCTGCCTCTCTGTTTACCTTTCAGGTTTGTGTGCATAATGCTTTATTGCTGTGTGCTATCTTTTTTTTTCCATTTAAGTTGACAGTCTAACTCTGAGGACGTAGATGACACCTTAATGATGCTTGAAGTTAAACAGGGGCGTTGATAAATTCTGAAACTAATGCAGCAAAATAACTTAAAGTTAAAGACTTCTCTTGATGATTTACCACTTTGAATGTATGTAGTGATTTACCTCAGTCAGTTGTCTAATTGTGGCTGCAGGTTTGCATGCCGTCCAGGTGTGTTGGTAGAGCTCAGGTAGGCTGTTGTTGTTGGTGGGTGGGTGTTACAGCCCAGACAGAGTTTTGTTTGCTCTCTGATCTCATTATTAACATGTTGCAAGAAGAGACCTGAGGAAAGAGGAGTTTTAATGTCTTAAATCGGGCAGAGTGTTTGCAATAGAGAGGGTTTTGCAGCCTTTGGAGAGGAGTTATGTTGAAAGAAAAAAGTACAGTAGATCTTTTTTGAAAGACAAAAAAAAGCCCAGCAGCAGGCTTAGATTGGCATGTGATGATGTGCAGTAAGTAGAAATGGGAATGAGGCTCAGGGCAGAGTTTTTTGTGGGTTGCCTCACTCCAGACTGACTGAGTGTGTGTGTGTGTGTGTGTGTGTGTGTGTGATACCGAGATGATTGCTACTTCATTCCAGCTACTGTATTTCAGTTGTTGGAGGTAAGCCGAGTGTGTGTGGTTCCTCAGGCTGCAGTAATGGAAAAAGAGCCACCAGGTTTCTTTCCCTCGTCCACGTGGAGACCCTCAGATGGTCTGACCTTACCAGCGTAGTGATGGATTTAACTTCCATGGAAAAACTGGAGCGTTGAAACCCGGCGTGCTAATCTGTAGCTGATGTCAGCTGTTGGTGAAGGAGGTGTGTGTGCCTCAGCCTCATTGTTGTTGTTTTTTGTGGAGTTGAGGGTTCAGAGGAATCCAGATGGCCGACGCCTCGCTGTGGTCACAAGACAGGACAGTTGTTTTTGTGTTTTTACGGAGCTGAGCTTTTGCAATTATAGTCCAAGGCGAGCAGGCTCCTGAGGCCACATGGGTTGAGTGGCTCTGAGTGGGACAGTGTCAGTGTTGGTTCCACTCTGTCAGGTCCTCACTGTCAGGGCCAAAGGAAAGCCGCTAATGACAGCATGGTGGCTGGCAGCAGGTCCGCAGCTCTGCTCTGCGTCTCCAGTTCCACTTTATCTTCCCTTTTTTCCCCTCTGCCGCGCTGTCTGTGAGAAATATGTTCCCTGTGGTTTAGTGGGAGCTGTGTGAAATGACGGCTGTCTGTCTGACTCTTGGTAGAAGCAGCGGACGGAGAGGAGGGGCGGGTGAGGAAAGACTTGTCCTCTCTAATTGTGTTTATAGCTCAAACACAATTATCTCCCCCTGTGACTCTTTGATTGAGTGACTCCACTCAGAAGGAGAGTGGCCTTTGTGTGTAACCTCTCACATTATTACACTATAGTGCCTTCAAGTCTTTTGTGATGATGCAGGAGACTTTGTGGCCTCCAAACTCATCAGACGCGTTGATGACTCATTAAAAGGGCATTTGTGAGCAACATTTAGGGTTGGCTTGAAAAGCTGAGAAGACTTTTTTATGTCCCAGAATTTGTGCTGCCATCAGGGTTTTTTTGCCTCATATGGAAAGAGCAGAAAGCTTGGAAAAAATGACATTGGAGCACCTTCTATGTAGATTTACACTGCTATGATGTCACATCAACTATTTCAGCTATCTAGCTCCTTTTTGAAAGTCTTCTTTGTCTTTCCTGGAGGATTTTAACTGAGGTGTAATCTCCACTGGGGACAGGGGTGACATTTCAAAATCCTATTTGTGTCCCCCTGACTTTCAAGAATGTGTTGATTTTAAACCACAAAAATTATGCTTACTATGCTACTGTTTGGCCAGCCGTCAGATTCTGTCTGAGAATGTGAACTGAGCTGCTGATTTTGCTCCGATACTCTCCAAAAAAAATGCCACAGAGGAGTATCATATTTAGCATATGTTGTACTATTCATGACGGATTTAGCATGATGAGCAACTTAATTGTTTCCCAGATTTTGTTTTAGTTACCATGGGCTCCAAATGTATGTTGAAATGCAGGAATGGTATTCACATTAACTTAGCAACAGAACTGCTCGTATTTTACTTTGTATTTTAATCACTTCATTACGTGATCCGTTTAATGGCAAGGTGTCTTTGTTTAAAACCTAAGCAGTGCCACTCCAGATTCACCTTTTCTGTTTGTGTTTCAGTCTCCTGCGACAGTGTCTGATTACATTTTCTCCTCAGTGATTGAGTCGCTCTGCCCTGTAATCTGCTCAAGGTGGGGAAGGTCACAGTCAACAGAGCAGAAAGCTTTGAGTCCTTTCTCACCTCTACCTCTAGCTTGTGTTTAAACTTGAGCAGGCTTTTGTGCTCGGTCTTTCTCTGATCACACACTGCATTGATTAAAAGCCTTTTCTCAAAACACAAAAGGTGTGACTTAAAAGATTTTCACTCAGTAACTGCTGCTGACAACTGTGTCCGTCTCTTGAGTTGGATAACATAGTTTACACATGGACAACTGATTGTGGCGTGCGATTGTGTGGTTGGGTGTGTGTGCTTTCTTTGCTTGCTTGAAAGCCTGTGAATGTGTTTTCAGGAGCTTTTTGCCGTAATAGTAGGCTGTAAATCTGCTATTATATTTTCAGTTGTAAGGTCACATCATGTATGTTTTTTCAGGATCCGCCCAAACCTTTTGTTGGACTGTTCTTTATCCAGATGTCTATTATAAAACACCTTTAAGGAGATCTTGTATCATGATACAGTTCATCTTTTGGAATGACGCAATCTACCTAAAGCTCCACACGTACAAGGTTTTTTGCCCTTTAATAGAAAAGTTTGTGAAAAGAGTGTTGCGGATTACAAATATGTGTGGGAGTGATTTAAAGTGTGTGCACACGTGCTCCAAGGAGCCTTATTTGTGCAGCTGATTCTCCCGTGAAGCAGCTCAAGGTCAGGCACCAGAGGCCCAACAGTAGTGCCGGCGTCTTCATCTTTCCCCCCCTCTGTCCTCCCCTCTACACCTCTCCCATTTCCTCTCCATATGCCAAAATACTCCTGCCTGTCCTCCAAGATCTCCCCCCTGCTGCGACTTTCCTCTCATCGTGCAGGTTTGAGTTGGAGTGCTGCAGAAAGAGCTGTTTTTGTGCTGTGGGTAGTCTTGAAGAAGTGGGAGCTGCCCAAGTCAAGTCAGACTGTAAAGCAGAGCTATAACACAGTCCTGAACCAGACATGGACTGTTGTGTCGCCCGACATTGCCTATGTCTCCGCCAAAAAGTTGCACTGACCACACCACAAAGACCATAGCCAATGTTCTTCACTTGCGGGAGAGGAAACCGGAAAACAGTCAGGACGGATTCAACACGCTAGATTGACAGTTAGCACATTAACAACACAACCTGATGTTGAAAGATCAAATGACATGTACCATGTGCTAGTGAACAATAACACAAACAAGTGCAAACAATTTCTGCTAAAGAGCTCATTGTCTAAAAAAAAATATCTTGCCAAATAAATCTGTTGCAATCACTCCATCTTCACTGAAGCTGTTTGTTTACTTTCCTCGTGCACTGAGCTGAACTGGCAATCAGAGTGAGTTCTACCATCTTCAACGCCAATTCAATGTGCCGAACCAAATGAATAAAAGCCGATAAGGGCTGACGAAGGCCAATGGTGCAGTACACACTGCAAAAACTAGGCCAACAGATGCTCACCAATGGCCCAACCCATACCAATGGCCAACTGTTAGCTTGCTGTGTCGGGGCTCTTAGATGCATACAATGGAAAAATAACAGATCTTTACTTTTCCAGCTGGCCAAGCATGTTGCTCATCATGGCTGGAGCACTTGACCTAAACCTTCAACAAACCACTGTAGTGATCAACAGCTGACCTCAAACACATGATCTAAGGAGTGATGTTTTCTCTCTGGTTTTGATCAGAGGAACGGGTCGGCAGTTTGTCTCAAAAAACATGAAGTCATTATGATCTAAGAAATTAAAGAGCTGGAGCTTTATTGAAATACACTGAGCATGTGTGATTCTTTTCTTTCTTACAGGAGACAGAGCGGGAGAGTCACAGTGAGCGTATCAGATCTCAGATCCGGGAGTTTAGCGGCCAGCAGACACAACAAAGCAGAGAGCTGCAGAGAATAGGTGAGAAACACTCATTCAGTCAAACTGCTGCTGTCTTGTAACCAACTGTATGCTGTATACACACACTTACATCATGTTAAGCAATACCTTTCTTGAATCTCTAAAACACACAATCTTTTATATGCTGTAAACATTCAACTAAAGGTCAAGTTTGGGGGAGAACTTATAACTCAGAGCCAACACTGACCACCTCTGTTGCGTTTAGGTGACTGCAAACATCCGTCTTGATGCAATTTCCTCTTCGCTGCCTGTTAAAATAGTCAGCTGAAGGAGCCGTTCTCCTGAGATGGCGGTCAGGAGGTCATATCAGCTTAGGCGCCTTCATCTAACTTTATTAACTGTTTGGAGTCCACAGCCATAGGCTCAATGACTTTTGGTTAAGTGTGAAGTAATTTCATTAACCACTCTGTTAGCCCAACCATTAATAAAGCAGTATGAATGCAGGCATTCAGGAGGGGATGAATGTGCTTCGTTCATTTAAATCCTTGAAGCTTTGCAGGCACAGAGCTGCACATGAATAGCTTGTAAAACGACAAAAGCGTATTATTGACGAGTCTGTTACAAACCTACCTACAGCTTGTCTGATTCAACCCCTTCAGGACAAACTTTTAATTGGACAATCCTCTTCAGATAGGACACCAAATTTAACTTGGACCACCCTTAGCTGGAGATTAAAGTGTTTTTCTTCTTTTATTTAAGCCTGGCTGACCTAAACTTGGCCCTGAGGCAAACGGCCATAACAGTGTCATTCTGTGTGGCCTGGTCTGCCCTGGACTTGGCTCACAGTGTCCTTCTCATGGACCTAGGGTTGGTGGTGGGGTTATGGGAAGCAACAGAGGGAAACCCAACAGCCACACCTCTGCTAAATAAAGCTGATACCAGAACAGAACCAGTTGGCTTGGCGGAGAAACTCCCCACTGTTCCTCATTTATCCCTGCCTTACAATTTAAACCAGGGTGAAGCTCGGGTGAACAAAAAAAGACCACCATAAAGAAAAGCAAAGGAGGAAGACGCCTTTAAAGTGGACACCAATCAAGAAAGAAATGGACGTTTATGGTTGGGAAAGGACAGGGTGGGCTGGTAGTTCTTGAAGGGCCGTTTGTCTCTTCAGCAGAGTGAAAGTTGCAGAAAATGAGAGATTGACTTGGGCCGTCAGTGGCGGGTTTTTTGGTCTTTGAACACAGCACAAACACATGCATCTACCTCACAAAAAAGCTTGTATTTACAAGCTTTAACTCAATGACCATGTGTCTAGCTGTATTGTAATGCAAACTGTACCTTGTAAGGCTGTGATTTAGGAAATGAAATGTTTGCAGAGACTCTCAGTGGAATGTGTTGTGTGCCTTGAGCTCCCAGAAGGGAGAAACTTGTTCAACTTCAAGTTTGAGACTAATGCCAGTTTCAACAAGGACATGAAGGACTGAACACAAGAGCATTTATTACTATTAATGCCAGGCCACTAGTCATGCATAGCAGGTTATTGTTATTCACACAAGACCTTGGATTGCAACTGTGGCACCAAGTCACTGCTGAACCACAGAAGTTCACATCATGAGAAACATCGGAGGGGTCGTGAGAGAATTTTACATCTTCAAGACTCTAAAAATGACTAAAACTAGAAGAGCACCCAGAAAGCACAGACCTCAACACCCTGTCTCACAGTGTTAATGAAAGTAAAAAATAATTTGTGTATACACTCCATGATTTGCATCTGCTCCAAAAGTTATTGGGTTCCTCTTTGGCACATCCCGCACCCTTCCATCAAGTTTCACGATAATCAAGGTTTTCTGTAATCCTGCTGACAAACAAACAATCAAACAAACCAATACGAAAACCATGGCAGAGGTAATGTAGTAATCAGATCAGGAAACATAACACTGCATGAACTGCTCACAGCTCAAAGACGTGTAACCTGAAACAAAAGCCCTGTTTCCACCGAGCAATATGGTACGATACAGTTCAGTTCGGTACGCCTTTGCCTTTTCTGTTTCCACTGTGAAAAGTTGTGGATGGTACCAATGGAACCGTTCTGTACCGTCCCCATTTTTGGTCCCCCCTCTGTTGGGGTACCTAGCACACAGATCTGGTATTAAAAGGTGGAGCTGTGAACACTGCAGTCTGTTGATTGGTTAGTAGCGGACAGTCACTCTGCTCAGGGCTGAGTTGTGGCTGGAGTTGAGGCTCATGTAACCACTGTTCATACCGAGGAGATTTTTACATATATTAGTAAACTGTAACTATAAAATGAAAGTATATTTTGCTGCCTCTTGCAGCAGCTGTGGTCGGAGAAAAAAACAACTTAATTCACTGGGCTGATTGCCAGCAACTTTTGGAACGTAATGTTACTCAATGCTGGCGGTGACGACGTGAATCCATCAGCACACCTTTGATCATTACTTTAGTTTTTATATAACATACACTTTTAGTAATGAGTGGATCTTCAAGCGTTTATATATATATTAATTACGGCCTGGTTATGTGAACTGCATATATTCTAATCCTCACATACTCCTCAAAAAAAAAAAGCATCGCAGAGCATCATTCCTTTGGGCTACGGCAACACTAAACCCCTGAGCTTGCCTTAGAAGGACTAAAGGACAGAGCAGTGAGTGACAACAGCCCTGCCCACATTCAAGAGTACGGTTTGCAGTGGAAACGCTCGGGTCTAGGTACCATGTCTGAAGGGTTACTTTTGGTTCCAAAGGTACCATACCGAAAGTGTTTGGAGGAAAAGGGGCTAAAGGGTCAAGAGCAGGCATCACTCCACTAAAAAGGGTCACTAGTAGGTTTGCAACAGTATGAGATTTTTACAATATGGTAACAGTCTCAGAAAACATCATGGTTTCGCAGTATTATCAGCAACAATGACCAGAAAGTTCTTTATGGTTAAACAAACCATATATATAATTGAAACTTGATACCACTTTTCAGAATGGAAATATATGTAAAAAGTCTGCGAGGCAGTTGAGGAGGAAAAGAGATGCACAAGAGAGATTCTCTGTCCAATACTGTAGACAAGCAAATGTACACAGTAACATAACCATCAATTTTTAAACCATGGTATGTGGTTTAACAGTATACTGTTGCAACCCTAGTCACAACCCAAAAAGGTTGGGAATCACTGGCATATGACCTAAAAATAATTTGCTTAACCAGACTCCCCTTTTTGATTGCATTAAATAGTTATTGAAATTTACAGCTTAGTGTATATTTCTTTTCCTTATATAGTAACATTTTGAAAAAGCTAATTCAACGGCTTGAATGAGGCACTTGATTTTATAGTAACAGTATTTTTTCTCTGTAGAAACCTCTCTATCTACCTGTTACACCAAAGCAGAGATGCGATGAGCCCATGTTAATCCCAGGTCATCAGCAGGCCAAGCAGAATGCTTAAAACCTGTGTTGACCCGTTCACAGCGACGACAAACACGAGCTGTCCTCGGGTCATTGCTCTGGTGTGAAAGAAGTATAAAGAAAACCCTTGGCTGGCCTTTGTTTGTGCTCTATATATTGACCGGCAGCAAAGTGCACAAGCTGCTTTTGTAGCTATTTCAGGTCTAAAAGAAGCAAGCCTCTCATTACCCTGCAGCAACAGGGATTTTCCCAGAAATCTCTACACAATGGACATGACAGCTCCCCGAAGGCAACAACACGAACAATAACGTGAGCGTTTGTAGAAGACGCGGTGTGTTTTGGCTTTCCCTACAGCTGAGCAGTAATTGAGTTTGGGCTGAGTGCATCATTAGATATAGACACTGCTGTGTAGTGGACCGTTCATAGTGTCACATGTGAGAGTGGCAGCCATTTATTGTTCTAATTATCATAACCACGTTTTCTGTTCAGAGCGCATTACATAATCATCTCATCTGTTTAACCAACAAGTTGATGCCATTTATAAAGTGATTGTGCACAGTTTCACCCGCATCTTTTTTTAGGAGTTGTTGTGCAATAAAAAAAGATCTGCTGTTTAAATGTGGACAATCTAAGGGAACAGTGTAAGAGATTTCATCAACGTGATGAAATATGAAGCCCAAACTTTTCTTATTGTTTTCTAAAAGAACCAAAGAACATTTTTTTTAGATCTGGCACTACCATGGAAAAATATAAGTACACCAAGTATTGGTAAATGGTTAAAAAAACTGTCTGCATGTACAGTATGTTCCTAGAAAACAATGGTAGCACTTAACAATAACCACAATTAATAAATACTAAATTGATAGTAAACTAAACTTAAGTTAAAAGAAAAATTAAAAAAAAAACAAGAAAATTCTAATTAATTGTGTTTACTTATTATTAGGAATGCTGATATTTATGTTACGTCAACAGTTTATTCTTGCACACATTTTAACATTTTAAATACCATATAATGTATTTGTTAATGATCAATAATTAGCTCATAAACTGTCTATAAACATTATTTGGATGGCTTTTATAAAGTTGCAGCTGTGGTTAAATGGTTATTAAGTACTGTGTCGACATCTATAAACACTACAATTGTATAATGGCCACCCAAATAATGTTTATAGACAGTTTGCAAACTAATGATTAACCATCAACCAAAACTTAATGTGGTACATAACATTTTATAATGTGTGCAACAATAAACTGTTGAAATAACATAAATTATAGCAGTATAGTTAACATTATCATTTACCATTTTATTGTTTTTTTAACAGTAAAATAAGTTTCATTAACTATCAATTTAGGATTTATTAATGATGGTTATTGAATGGTGTTACAGGAATATTACCTATGCTATTAAGTGGAAACAACTATTAAAGAAAGTATAATCTTGAGCATGCAGGCTTAGCAAAGAATATACTGAGACAGATAATTTGGAGATGATTGTGATGGGATGAAGTTGGATATCTGTGATTACTAGCTGCAGGAGAAACTTTTTTTTTTAAATATCTTATTTTTATGTATGTTTTTTTCACGTTTGTAATTTAATTTTTAATGTATTTTTATTTGTCTTGTGCATGTTCGTATATTGATATAGCTAGGTTTCATTTTTGTTTCTTGGAAATCTAATCTATAGGGAAAGTGTAAAAAAAAAAAAAAAAGGAGCTGCTTTAAATGAAGCAGCGAATGTCAGCCTTGATCCTGCCTCGTCAGAAGTTGAAAGAGATTTCTGCGGCTGCCGGTCAGACTCTTTGATTTGGTTTGTAAATGACAGACACGCATACTTGGTGAACCCCATTTGGTTGCAGAATTGGTGCATACAGAAGTGCTTTCATGCCTTAGTGTGTATATGGGATGTGGGAATCTGATACACTCTTGGTTTTCTCTGTTTTCCTTATCTGCGGTACGTTCACAACCTCAGATATTCCATCACCAGGAGCACCATGGGGTGCGAGAGGTAGAGACTATCACAGAGGGAGGATGTGGGCTGCACTGTGTTGTTTGGAGTGTGGTTTCCTGAGGAGAGAAGGAGCAGTGAAGGAGCTTGGATGAGGGGAGGGGAAGTACTTGTCCTAGTCTCTATTTCACCCCCACTTCCTCCTCGACTTCTTGTAGTAGTGCTTACCGCCTATGGTTAAGCCACATGCTCCCTCTCTTTAGCTGTGACCCCTGTGTGACGCACATCCACCAGCTCAATCTCACAAATCTTGCTCAGGAACTGAGGCCAGTCTGGAGGAAATGCCTACGTCCCCTCATGTCTCCACGTGCCTCCTCTGTGATCCTGAGTGATATTTCTCGAGCCGGGCCTCCCACTGGGGCCTCTGTGCCTCCAGAAGTATTTCATTTCCATCACTTCAATCTCAAATGTCACCACTTACTGTTTCCTTTGCTCACACACAGTAACACCCTCTTCACTTTACGGATGTGAGAGGAAAAACAGAATCAATATGAGAATGAATTTTTATCAGGAAAGGCATTTATTGCTCATCTGTCATTTGTGTTTTCTGCCACAGGCTCCAACTCAGGCATGGTGTTGGTTCTTGATCACCTGGTGAAGGACGATGGCCCCGGACCTCTGCTGATCCAGCCTCAGAGAGAGGCTGTGACCACGGAGCCGGACCTGGTCCTGCCTCATCGTCAAAGGTCTGACTCCTCAGCTTCAGACCGCAGTGGGGCCTCTGTGCGTTCTAGGTCGAATCTGGATTCTGCGGCCTCAGAGAAGAGCGTGGGCTCAGCCTACAGAGCCCGGCTGGACTCTGGAGCTTCAGACAGAAGCCAGAGTCCCTCTCAGCGCAGTCGGCGAGGCTCTGGGGCATCAGAACGAAGCGTCAGCTCCCTGACCCATGTCAGACAGAGACTGGGTTCAGATGTCTCCAATTCTGGCGCCAGGCCCCGTTTGGGCTCCGGGGCTTCAGACAGCGTTGGTGTGTTGTCAAGGAAACGGACTGACTCTGGGACATCTGACCAAAGTGTAAGTATGTCCTCTGAGGAGAGAGGTCCAGCTGAGGAGGCGGAGGTCGCTACAAGTGGGTCAACTTGCAGCACAGATTCAGAATCCGAGAGCAGAAACCAAGGTCCAGCCAACACTCAGGCTCAGTCCAACCAGGACCGCATCATTGACCAGGAGCAGCCGGATGGGGCCTTTTTATCCCGGAGAGATCCTGCAAATGGACTGCTCAACGGCAGCGCCAAGGGAAAGAACGACTTCCAGAAACAAACGGTAATGTATACAGTCTTTGTATCAGATGAATGATGTTTTATTTGAGCCCTGAGCACAAAGGCAGGTGACAAATTAAAGGAAAAACCAGAGTCAAAGAGTGGAGGAACATAATGCAGCTTCCACACAGGGCAGGAGGGGTCACTGACTTGTTTGATGAGTATGAAAACGGCCTACACATCATAATTCCACAGCCTTAAGAAAATACTTTGTGATTGGTACAGATCCCCACAAAAACCTCACCATGATAATTTTATATGGGTCTGTATCCATGAAGCATGTTTTTCCTAGCTGAAAACACCAGTGTGTATACAGTATATTAACATATGTCTTCTCCATTGTTGTTGTTCAGCACCTGTACTTGTAAGATGTGACTGTGGGTCTTTGTGGTAGGCTATTTGTCACACTCATTCTCCACTGTGATTGGTCAGCTGGGTAAAAAGTGGCGGCGCTCAGCACCTTTTCACACCTGTTTGTAGATTTGCGTAAATATGCTACGCTTCCATTGCAGAGAATTAAAAAAGTATGTTGGTGTATGTAAAACTGATCTTTCCCGCTAATATTGTTCAGCCCCAGTCTTTTGGTAACACACCTCATGTTGGTTTTCCCTTTTAATTTGTCCCCCATCTATATCAGTTAGAGCCAGCTGAACAGCAACAACAGCACCACTAGAGTGTGGTGTTGAGCCACAGAGCCATGGTCACATGCACCAACAGTTAAAGCTCTCCCTTTTTTTTGTTTCATTATCCCTGACAAGAAACCCCGACACTCCATTCCTCAGTGACACCCAGGTCACATCGGCATCCATAAACACTCCGTGCCGAGCTCGTGGTGGATGCTGTTTAACTTTTGTTACTGGGCTACACAAACAAACCGTGCACCTGAGTGTCTCTGCTTCACCTCAGCGGCATTTCAGGCTCACCTGCTGTCAGAGAGCTATAGACAGCGTTACGGGCCAGAGGTTCTGTCTCTCCTCAGCCCGCAGTGCAGGGAACACACAAACACACACACACACAGCAGCTGTTTCTGCACTGACTATTAACTGTTGAGCAACGTTTCCTGTCTCAGGGGGCTCAGGTCACCGTGACGCCATCATGTCCCTGTTCTACATGTGTTTACCCAAGGCTGGCCCCGGACTTCTTTTATTGTTCCCTGCAAGATACGCTGATGCTCAGTCTCCTGAGAGTAATGTAAACACTCTGGGGCCCATCATGGCCCCACTGCCAAAAAAAGAACAGAGGCCCAGTGCTTCACTCCAAACACAAATGTTACATAATGAAAACACCACCCGTTGATTCTGTATTTAGAATTGTGTGTGTGTGTGTGTGTGTGTGTGTGTGTGTGGTTGTCACCACAGCCATCCATGCGGACTCTAGTCTGTCATAAATGTGCATTGCTGCCCTGTCAAACACGGAGCTGTTCAGTATAGCAGCTCTGTGGTTGTCAATCTAGACACAGTGCACGTTAACCCTCAATCTCCTGTATTTCCTCTGCTGATTGTTTTCTCGTGTCTCTTATTTTTTCCTCTTTTTAGATGACAGGTAACAGTGCCCTGCCCCTTACTCATGGCAAAGGAAAGGACTCTGGTAAGAAACTAGTCCAACTCACTCATTCATCAAGAGAAAATCAATCAACATTGATTCTGATCATCTTTTAAAGGTCCAGTGTGTTTTTAGGATTTAGAGGGCTGTATTTGCAGAAATTAACATAGGGAGAGGGTCCTCGTATACGGAGCAGCTTCAGAAAAACACATTTTTTAACTTGGAACAGCTTTATTCAGTGTTTTTACTGGTTTAAATCACCAGCTCTGCTTGTTTTGGAGAGGAGGAGACCTCTGCGGGTAATTCAGTTATTAGAGAAAAAAGGTGAGCTCACATTAGCAAGTGCTGGGCAAGTGGCCCATCTGCGAAGAGCTGAATAGTGTTGGAAAAAAATTGATTTGTAAAGTGATACTGCTTTTTTCAGTGTTTTTACTTAGTCCACTTCTTTGGAGAAAAAGAGACTTCCGTAAAAAATTTTTACACTGAAGGAATTGTAACCGGGATAACAGGGCTGGTACACAGGAGACGTTTCAACTGGTTGCAATCTGCAATTGATTTAAGAGAAAAATCCAAACTTTCATCTGTTCTACCTTCTCAAATGGGAGGATTTGCTGCATCTCTGTCTTACAAATCATTGTCAATTTAATGTGTTTGGAGTTAGTACTGTTGTTTGGTAGGAAGAGACAATTTTCAGTACTCTTGGCTCTGAAAAAAATGCAACGGGCATTTTTTATTGACTAAATTGATTTTTAATAAGTTACCATAACTTGCAGCTCTTATATGTTTTTACAAATATATCCATATATACATTTAGTTTAGTTTATGGACATGTTCATTAAATGAACAGTGTGTAAGATTTAGGGGGATTTAGTAACATCTAGTGGTGAGGGTTGCAGACTGCAACCAGCTGAAACTTCTCCTGGTTAGAATTCCTTCAGTGTTCATTGTTCAGGAGGTTTTACTGGGAGCTGAATTGTCAGCAGAGGTCTCCTTCTCTTCAAACAAACAGACCAGGAGATTAAAACTGTAAAAAATACTGAATAAAGCAGTTTCACAGAGGAGCTGCTAACTACGGTGGCTGACGTGAAAATACGAATGGCCCTATCTAGAGCCAGTGTTAGGTTTGTCCATTCTGGGCTACTGTAAAAACATGGCAATGCATAATGGCAGACTCCATGGAGGAGGATCTGCTCCCTATGTATGTAGAAACGGCTCATTCTAAGGTAATAAAAACACACCAATTCTTATTTTCAGGTGATTATAAACTAATTTATTTCAATATATTCCCCTAAATCCTTCACACTGGACCTTTGAAAGTGTGTAATAATACTACACCAGACGGTTCATAGGCTGTAGTTCTGCAGTATATGGAGACAGCCATAAGTGTGACTGTATCGGACCACTCACAGGAGAGAGTGCTGGGAAGAGAATTTGTTATAATGTACACTATTTCCTCTCTTTCTGCCAGACAGTGCTCTTTTCTGTGTCCACTCCACTATAAACTGTGGTTTTCCTACCGAGGAACACATCCTTCTTTTCTTTGTAAAGATGACCTCAGTGAATATCTTCTACTCTAATCACTGGTGGGTTTTTTTCCGTTGGAGGGTCCGTGCCAAATCATGAGCTTTGTACACTTTATCTGACAGTATTAGGGATCAGAGAATGAAAAAATATCCATGAGTGGGAGAAACATGTCCTGAAAAGTCCAAAAACTAGAAACTGAAAGGCAGTGAAACGGGGGAGGTTAAGTCAAGCAAAATAAAGGGGCTGGAACAAAACCTAGAAAGAGGAGGAAAAGAGGAATGGGATTTGTAGAGGGCTTTTGAGGTGGAGGGGGAGATGATGAGAGCAAGACTTTAAGTGTGCTAAATTCAGCCTGGATGTTGGAAGAGATCTAGGCTCTGTGTCTCTGCTGTGTTTAGTGTTTTCTGTGATATTAACTCCCCTCCTGCTTTACATCCTCACAGCACCTGAGAAGAAAGATGTAATATTGGAACAGTTCAACCGCACCAACTCTGTGCGGGATCGAATGCGCAAGTTCACAGAGCCCAGCCAGAGCCCAAATGTCCCAAGTTTGAAGAAAACTCCTCTGAGGAACGGGACCACCTCCGGCAGCAGTGGCCAGACGAATCTCTCCAGAGCGGCTGAGCTGTTTACACACACAACAGCATCCCTCAGCACATCTGGAGACAGGCCAGCAAGGCCACGTGTGGACTCCACATCTCACACCTCTGCCGCATCCCAAAGTCAGGCCACACCTCAACCGGGAGGCGGGCCTAACAAACCTCTGTCCTCAGCTGGCCAATGGCAGAACTCCATGGGTGGGACGAGGCATCCAGCTGAAAAAGATGAGCATGCCTCCAGCAACTCAAAGGAAGACGGGACCCCAGTGAGAGCAGCTGGACAGCAGGTCACCCAGGGAGAGGCAGACCCGGACATGAAGACTTTCCTCACCATCGAGATCAAGGATGGGCGCACCACCACCTCCTCCACATCCTCCACTCGGGGCAACATCGTACCCATCACCAACATGGCACCACGCATCACCACTAATGCTCTGGGACAGCGAGCAGGTAGGAGCACCAACAGCACAGCGCTCACTCTCTAGCTCTGTCAAATAACTCACTTTAACATGATGCAGCATTTCACAAAGTATGAATTAAGGACTGGAATGACAACTAACACCTGCATTTGTTTAATACACCATGCTTTTAGGGTGATTATATTGACTGGTGTTAGTACAGTATGCAGTACGCATTGTGTTCAGGCAGCATTAATCTTAATTTAGAGACTGTATGACTTTCCTTTAATATCAACCCTTAGATCACAATGGCATCCAAGTCATTGTGGGAGGTGACTGGCACCAACGACTTGGTCACAAGTGGGAGGATGACAAGCAAAGCGCGTGGATGAGTTGAGATAGATGTTGTGGCTGAATATGAAGCAGTGTGATTGTACTAAAGGGTATTTGTTATAGAGTGGGCAAGCTGCTGCAGTGTGGAGGGGGTGAGGTCAGTAGTCAACAGTAGCGAGTATATTGGGACAAAGGAAACAATAATTGGCTGTCTCAGGCCAGACTGAATAGTAATACTGTTACAGTGCATTTGAATGAGCCTGCTCGCCCACACAGGACAGTGTTTGGTTTGTTCCATGATGTAGATTTTTTTCTGTCCCTTCTTTCATCTAAAATGACAATTTTTACCCCATCATTCAATTTGGCATTTAAATGACAAATATCTTTTCTTTTTTTTAAATTTTATTTTTTACCAGTTTTAGACACTGTCAGATCCCCCTGTGTGAATGTAGCTGTCACCCGTCGTCACGTCATTCTCCTCTTTTGCCTCCATGTTTTCTGTCTCTGTCTGCTGTGAACTATCAAAAAAGGTGCTCATGCATTTTATGTCTACATTAGTGAGTCAACAGCAGAAAGATGACAGGACTTGAGGGGCCGGACGCAAACCAGGGATGTTGCATCTCTTGATCAACACCTGATAGGCCTAATATTTAATGCTTTTTGTCACAAAATTTTGTAAATTGTGAGTAAATTCTTTATAACCTATCAAATGGTAACTTTGACTGTTTTGAAAATAGGCGTCAGATATTGTCCTGTGCGTTAGTATCGCTGCTTCCATGCTCTTTAAGATGCATACTGAAAATAGATATCCCTCCACAAGGAATCGATCTCCCCCCAATAATTCATTCAATCACTCAATCTGGGAAAACATAACTCGTGCCCATCCCTGTACCTTAATCTCTAAGCCAGCCCCGAGGGCGCCAGTTAAAAATAACAAGACAGTTTCCCTTGATTTTTAAGCAGATGCTGTTGGAAGACGAAAATAAATAAATGTCACTTTGCAGCTGATCAAAACATGGTCGCTCCCCTGACATAGTTTAATGCGTGGCTGTCTGTGTTAAACTGACAGTATCTGCTGTACTTGTAACTTTTAATTACTAAAATATGTGGCATACTGTCGGTGTAAGAGAACCGCAGCAAGTGTTCAACAAGGCATACTTAGATGGTGTGAGTTTCTGTATTGTCAGGTAATTAATAGGCGCGTTAAGCAGCGGGACAGTCTTGTTTAAAAACACATTGTTCTTGTACATGTACGTACTCAGCACAGTACATTGTGCAAACAGTACCAGCAGGGATTAATTAATAGCACGAAAGAAAAACAATAGCAGCTTAAATGTCAGTGTGTTTTAGAGGCAAAGCTGCTACAGCTGCTGTTACTGTCTATCCAAACAAGACGTCTTAGGTTTCAGCTCTTCCCAGCAACCGGGACCTCCAAACCAAACAGTTTATTTAAGACTCAAGCTGGACCTGTGCGATTACACCTCTTACAACCCCCCAGGCATATTCTGGCAGCCCAATTTCAGCTCAATTTGCTTTAATGGTTTTGGGCTCCTTTTTTGGGAACCGGCCTGTCTCGCACTCGGCGAAGGCAGGCTGGGATTGTGTCTCCGGTTTCTCTCAAAAGCACCTACCCAGATTCTTAAATGTACACTGTGCTGCGCTGGTGTGCATCAATCCTGTATTTTATGATACAGCTTTTGTGCGTGCGTGTGTGAGGAATGAAGGGGTGGGGAGGGGGAGGGTCAACAACAAGTCACAAGGTGCGTGCATGTGCATACTCTTGCAGGCAGATGAAGAGGGGTGTTTATGTTATAGGTGGCGTCATCTACATCTTCTTTCATTAGACATGAGACCGTGTTGTTTATGACACTATGGCAGCTTATGTAACTGACTAATGGCTGTTACCAACACAGTGCAAGACCACCACGTACATATGCATATGGATACCAGGACCTTTCTTTGTTCTCATTCAACACACAGCTGTCAACTATATCTGCATGAATCTGAATATTTTATACTTGAAATCTATATAAATTTGTGCCTTTACTGTGTCTGTTTCAGAGTTGACCCTTGGCCTCAGAGCTACACCGTTCAAGATCTCCTCATCCAGCCTCTCCTCTGGATCCTCCATCAAGGTACAGTCTGCCATTGCAAATTATTTTCTGAGAAATGATTATAACATTGAGACTCTGCAGAATCTGGGGACAGAACCTGCCAAACATGCATCCAGTCCACATTCCCAGCTCCTTCCAATTAAAGATTAATGTTTTGTTTTCATCTACTATTTCATTCCCAGCTGACTTAATTGAATTCCGTTGTGTTTTCGCTGCGTCCCTGTCGCGGCAATCACCTATAAAGGCCTGAAAAGCAAGTGAGCCGGGACAGTGAAAGACAGACAGAGTGTGAGAAAAGGAGGGAGAGGAGGGAAGAACAGTGTTTATCAAACACAGAGTGGGTAGCCAGTCACATCTGTCCTTGTAGGGTATGTGAAGGAGAGAGAGGGAGAGGGAGGTGCTCGGGGCATTCCTCGTTTTCTCTCCGCAGGCCGTGCCTACTGAGATTTATCTGGGAAATGTTTCCCAATTCACACCTGTCTGTCTTCATGCGCACTGATTGCTGTCCGGCTGCATCGAAACACATGTTGACATACGTTCTTCATCGCGTCTTTTCTTAGGATCTGACTCTTGCCTCTTAATTTGTGCACAGTGACCTCTGGGGTTAGAGAGAACAGCCAAACTCCCAGTTGCCTCATTCCTTAACCTCCTTGCTCCTCCATGAAAGGAAGTGTCCTCATGAATGGAGAGTGGGGGATTGAGAGGGTGAGGAGGGAAGAGGGGGTGTCCTGTTTAATTTTTTAATGGCTGTGTATTTCACCTCGTGTGGAACCCAGCTGTAATCTGGTTATGGGATCAGGGATCTGGTTAATTAGGGTTTGGAGGAGGCTCCACAAGGCTGGGGGTGGAATTTAAGGTGTTGGTGTGAGACTGTCACCAACAGTTAGGCGCTCCTTTAGACACACAAACACAGGGGCAGGTACGAATGAAGACACCATGGCAGAGTCTTTCTAGTAGAAAAAGGATTTTGCAGGAGGAGGACAAAGATTCTGCAGGAGATGAGGTTTTTATGTGTCTGAACTGAGTGCTGGTACAACACTACCATAGCGGCATGCAGGTAACGTCTTAGTGTGTGTGCTAACACATGGGGCTGTACCGGGTGTCTTTTTTTTTTTTTTTTTTTCTTTTCACATTTGAAGTTTCTATTAAGGTCTTTGAATGAAGCTAGAATGTCAGTCGTCACATAAAAATTCTCAAACAACATCTTCAATTTAAAATAAGTGACTTATCAGACTAAATGGGTTAGTTTGGTTTTATTAAATCAACTTTTTTTTAATGAATAAAGATAAATGTAATTTATGGTGCTGGTAAATTGCCTGTAGACCTCCCTGTTGATACAGGAGCATGCCCTGTTTGTGTGCAGCAATCCGATGAGCAGGTAGTTTTTTGACTGCAGTGAAAGATTTTGAAAGGCTAAATGCCAACAAAGATGGATTGAAGCAGAATATTTTGTTAGATTAAAACATGTTTGTACTAAATGTTGACTTTTGGACAGTACAGTGCTCTGAGGTAATTGGAAATGTTTGGATTGTGAGTTGGTAACAGTCCTATGCAGCCACCACTGGAAACTAATAATGCAAATAGTATGAAACTAATAATATTAGCGGACCCTATTCCTTATCTACAACAGTGCAGATATACCAGGTTTACACAGAAAGAACAGATATGTAAACAAAAAAAAAAAAAAAAGAAGAAAAAAAATCATCCTGCTCAGCCTTCGAATGTTAATTTAAAATTTGAATGTCAATGTTATGAATAGAGCTTCGGACTTTTCGGTACAGCCCTACTAAAGTATGATATTAATAAACATGATGTATTTAAAATATTCTAAAAAAGATGTATGCAGTTTAGGAGCAACCCACCAGTGTAATTTGGAATATATCACCATCATTTATTCAGTCGTAAAGATATACTGTGCAGGACTGTCCTAAAAAAACAAAACAATGTATAGACTCATACAGAAGTAATCCCTCTCCATCATCACTTATGACCCACTAGAAGTGTGTGGAGGTGTATTTCTGCCTGTATTTTCTTATATTCTTCTTATCTCTGTTCGGGATGTTCAGTGCTCAGGTGAGGTTGGGGCAGATGCCAGACCATAAGCAGCAGGCATTTAAGAGACACAGCACCAAAAAAGCAGACATAGTGAGGCAAAACGCCAAATGAGAGTGAATCTGGGGCTGGCTTTAACCCTCACTGGTGGGTGTGTTTCCAGAACAGTCACCAACAATCCTGTATAGTATACCTTTAAACTGTTACTATCCTGCTGATGTCATGATGGCACCACCAGGCTGTGACTCACATACATGGCCATCCAAACAACTGCATCATTATTGTATAGGGCTCAACATGAATGTCTTTATTAATGAACCACGAGGACACATTTAGTCACTCAGCTGATATTTCAACCTCTGGCCTTGACCGCATCTGCTCAGGTTTTACCATCCAAACATTTAGCCTGAGTGACTGAGTTACCTTCTGACTGATCCAGACACCACCTGCTGTCGAACTTTCTCTGGTTCAGTTATGTGAGAGGAGGTGATGTCAGGGGAGGATTCATGTCAGAGTAGCTTTTATCAGTACCCTTTCCACATTAGTGAATGTATTCATTAAGAAGACCAGTGTGCAGATATGAAGGCGGTGTAACGTCAGTTTTAATAAGCTCTTCCTGTTTGGTGTTGTTGATTGTTGTTTATTGACCACAGTGGTTCCTGTCTGGGACTCTGATCTGTTTGGGTGGTCTGGGCGTCTACTCGGTGGTCTATCTTCAGCACTCACAACCTCTACTATTTCTTCAGTGTTTTTTTTTTTTTATTCCAATAAAACATGTTGATGCTGATAGCATCAGCTCTTGCACTGGATACCTATAAATTACAGTCTATTGGAGAGTCAACGGAAAGAAACATTTTAGATCACATAAACAGTGGAAAGACTCTAAACCAATGAAGGACAAATGTGAGTAAAAGCAATAGAGCTGCACCTTGTTATTTATTATTAAGGTAATATTAAGTTAACGGCAAGGTCAAGATGCTTGTGGTGTTTCAGCGTCGTGATGAGAGTTCATTTCAGACAGGTGAGACCAGCAGCTGATCATTGATCTCTCCTGCTCCAAGTGATTGCAGCTGTTCCTGCTCATCTTCACCATCCGTCCCTTGGCCTTGAATACAAATACAGATAATGCCTTAGTTTTATTACTGGGGTGATGACAGGACAGTCAGTCTCTTTCCCGTGGTCACAGAGATTACTGCTGAGCTCTGGGTCACACTGGTACAGTGCTGCTGGACTCGCAGTCAGTGACAGATTGTCTCACTGTCACACAGAGGGAGAAGGACTCCATTGTTAACATACTGCCGATCCATGACACATGCTGGTTACATAATCAGTTCACATGTGTCAAATGTGATTTAAGCCTGGTCTGCAGACCTCTGTGCAAAGTGGGGAGAAAAAGATGTGAGTGTAATGTCTACATAATGTTTTATAGCCAACTTAGATTTATTTATTCTCCACATTGTGATGTTGTCTTCAGCCTGAAATCTCAGCATTGCCTATCTTTGACCTCTGATGGAAGCTACACTACTTCATTTTTGGAAACTTGTAAACAGCAGCAGGGGGTTCACAATGGTCACAGACGCTGTCACATACAAGTGTGAGAGGATATAACATTTTTACTACAGCCATTTGTGCCACAATAATGATAAGCACAGACCTTTATACATGCAGAACATTGTTGTGTGTGTGTGTGTGTATGCACCATGTCTTTCTACATCACTTTGCTTTGTGTGTTCGTGCTTTGGTGCATGGTAAGACTGGAGCCATGTCCTTCTTGGGTTTTGACCCACTGTCCCTGCTGCCAGTCACATTTCTCTCCACTCTCCCTCAGGGCTAGATTCTTCTTGGGAACTGTTTTGCTTACCTGTAAATCCCAGGAGAGATCACTGTCTCTGTCACAGTGTTCCCCACTGCACTGTTTAAAATCAGTTTAATGCTTGTGATGTATTGTCAAGAATTACAGCTTTACAGCATGTACAGTACCATTTGATTTCTCTGCACAGTCTGCAGTATGCCACTAAATCTTCAGCAAGCATTTAAAAGATGTACTTGAGCATCTTACACTATGAACAGCATCTTCTGTCAGAGCTCTTGGAGAGCTCTAAATTTAATACAAAAGCATGTGAAGCGTTCACATGAGCGGCAGCTGCAGCTTTGTCAGTAAGCCTAAAACAAAATCTTGTAAGGACTGCGATATCCTTGCCCAGAGCTGCGGAGAACTCCCCCCTAACTGGTCACCCAGTCTGCTGTGTCATGGCACTTTGTCCTTCATGGAGTGATCTTCCCTCTAGATGTCTGCCTTAAATCACAGTCATGCAAAATAACTGACCTTATTAGTAGTCACGATGCAGTTGTGTTTTGTCAGAAAGCAATTTTATGGGGAGAGAACTCCACTCAGCCCAGGCCGAGAGCCACGTTAAACCTTCATCACCTGCCAGCTGAGGTGTAAAGAACAGCGGCTCCAAAATAAAAGAAAAGCTGAAAGAGGGAGGGGTGAGTTTTCTAAATTGTTGCCACCAACATCCCCCCCCCCCCCCAGGCCTCCACCAGTGTCCCAGGACTGACTGGCTCAGTGAAATACGGGTGGGGTAGGAGATAAATAGACATGTCCACGGCACCTGGAAATAAGGGGGTGGGGCTACTGCTGCCTGGGAAACAGGATTCCTTGCATGCTCATTGGCTGTCAGGGTGTTGGCCAGTGAAGAGGGGAGATTTGCTGGGGGTATAAAGAACATGCATTGTTTTGGAAGGTCTCAATAGACAGACGGACACAGAGAACACCTTCCACCCTCACATCTGAGGCCACAATCTTTTAATTTCTCCAATCTGACACCCCAACTTGAGTCTTTTGGACACTTAAGTGGATTTAAAGGGACTTTTGCAAGTGTGACATTGAGTGTAGCTGGTCTGGTCATGCCTGGAGTCGACCTGGACTTCCTCCCAGCCTCACAGGCTCCAGAGGCTTTGGACAGCCCAGATAGTGCTTGTGCTGAGTCTGGCCTAGAGGAGGTGATTGGTGATCTGTTTGCTCAGGAGGAGGCAGAGGATGAAGAGGAGCAGTTTTGCAAAAGGGAATTTGAATACACATTACAATGTGCAGTGGGGGAGATCCATTGTGACCTGCAGGCCTTCGGTAAGAGAGTAGATGCCCGTCTGGAGGAGGCAGCAGCTCAGGTGGCTCCTCTGGCAGAGGCCCTTGCCAGACTGCAGGAGGAAAACCTGAGGCTGAAGATTCAGCAAGAAAGGCTGGTGAGGCAAGTGGAAGCTTTGTGCCAGGCCATGGGGCTATCTGATACCTTACTGCACGAACTGCCCACTGAGGAAAGCCCAACTATATGTGAAAACAAAACATCATCCAGTGATCCTGCAGCCTGCACACCCCAGGACACTGCATTTGAAGCACCACATGACACTTCATCCAGCACTCCCCAAGACTCTCAGTCCACTCCAGCTAGTATTCACCCGGATATTCCATCAAGCGAACCCCAGGAACCTTCATCATGCCCCCAGGACTCGGACTCTGCATCTGCTGGGACAAGCGCACCTCAGAATCCAGAGCCTTCACCTGTCCCTCACCCCCCAGCCTTTGCAATCTGCCGCTCCCTCTCTGCTCCTTCTTTGATGGCAAGCATTTCTTGCAGCGACAACACGGTACTGCTCCTGTTAATGGTTCTGATAATGAACCCTTTTTGCTTCAGATAAGCTGCATGAGGAATGTCTTTTGTTCCCGTGTTGACAACACACGTGGATCAGCTGGCCATGAGCACTTTGACGTGCCATGCCAGTGACACTCTGTGTTCTCACTCACATACTTGTTGACCCACTGTTCCATCTGTCTTTGCTTTCCATTGATTTTCATCTCACATTATGTCCTCACTTCTTTTTAAAAAAACATTGGACCATCTCAGCTGTCAGTCAGTTTTGACAGATAGTGTTACTCCATTGCAATCTGTCACAGAGCTATTCCAATCCTCCAACACCATGTGTTACTGATCCTGGCTAGCTCTCATGTGTGTCTGCAAGTGCTCTGTTGAGTGGCTAAACTTCCTTGTGGAGGAAAAAATGACCACTTTATAACAATAACTCTGTCCCTAGCCTGTAGTTTGCTATGTTCAGATCATCCATAATGTTCCCCTTGGCAGGGACATGAAGTTGGCATTGTTGCTTTTGAAAAAGGAGCTATAAATGAGAAGGTTTAACTTGTCTGGCTTTAGATTTAACTCGTGATAAAACTTACATTAACGTTATAGAGATGAATGCACAGTTTCATGACTGACAGGATAACCATCTTTGGCTGTGTTTGCTCTACGTGCTCTTGAAATCCCACAACAAGCCCTGTGTGTGTTTGTGTGCACTGCTGACATTTTGAGGGATATTGAGTGTGTTCAGTGTTCATATTCCTGTCTAATCCTGCACAGACAGCTGGGTCTGCCAATCAGCTGCTCCAGGAAAGGTGACGGACTTCTCTTAAATGTTGCCCCGATGATTGTGATAATGAGGGGTGACCTTATCTGGCTGTTTTTCCTCAATGTCTTTGTGCAGTATCAGCTGTTTCTCTCATGTGAGCTCTTCTGGTGGAGAATGTATTACAGGTCTAAGTGATGAATCAGTTTCCAGACGGATAATAGCCCTTCTCTCATTAGCGAACAGCTAAATCAAAACAGCATGCTTATGCCACAGTGACTCAGATGCTGAAAAGTATCCTGAAGCTGAATTAAACCCGAGCAGTAAGGTTATCTGGGATTTTCTCACCCCACTCACATTCCCTCATTGCCTGAATCAGAGCCCTTGTTTGGCTGTGTTGTGTCCAAAAACATTCCTCGTCGGTCAAGTGCCTCTCAGTCCAGTCTGTCCCATGTCCAGAAAAGTCTTAAAACTAGTGACCACCCGTGATCACACAGCACTGTGGCTGCGTTGGGCATTGTCCCTCCCTGGTGAGACCTGTTCCTGCTGCAGCCCGCGGGGAGGAGGACTGGGCGACTGTGGATAGGGACGGTGCCAGCTGTCTGAGCTATATGTGGACCTGGACTCAGTTACAACAAAAGCAGTGAAGCCACAGCTAGTGCTCGTAGTCTGCCACAGGCATTCACACTGCATGAAATGAAAATTTATGGGGTGTTTATGGTCACTGCAAATATGCTGCTAGATATCCAGGTTTACCTTAGCAACCTGTTTGCTCTGTAGGTGCTCCACTTCCTCCACAGCATGCTCCCTAAATCTTTCCTTTTGCTCCTTTGCTCACCACTCCTCCTGTAGTGCACATACCATCTCCTCAGAGTTTATATCTGCTAATGCATTGTTCCCATCTTCCAGTCGTAATGGTGTACCGTACCTGTCACATAAACTCTTGCTTCACAGCAGCTCTGTATCATTCAGACACTCAGTGTGTCAGTCACACTCGATGAACTACGTTAACAGTAACTTGGCAGGGCTGCTCTCGCTCTCATGTGCTTACTGTCACCCTCTCCGGCACGGCTGGAAGGCGGAGGGGATGGAAGAAATGATGAGATGTGGTGAGCTGGTACAAAAAGAGATTATTAGAGGGAGCCTGCTGCACAAACTCAGGCCTATTATGGCTGCAGTGCGTTTGACCGAAATCCTCTTGCGCTTATTACGTCCTAAATGTCAGCAAGGTTTACTTGTGTTTTTTTTAAACCCTCATCCTGGTTTTATAAGTGTACAACTTAAAAGCCTGAGCTCCAGGTCAGGGGATTCTTCCTGCAGGAGCTCTCAGATGGAAATGCACATGTCCAACTAAGGTTGCAACTTCTTTTCTTTTCAATGAATAATAGGCATTGAAACTAATTAATGTAACCCTGTGTGTCGCTGTGTGTCTTTTATGTTATGTGTTGTGCACAGATGGAGACAGAGCCCATCGTGGCCTCTGAGCCAGTGTATTCAGCTGGACCGTCTGCCCAGGTGGTGTGTAATGTCCCCGCCATCCCCAACGGCTCCAGCACTCAGACCAAAACAGATGAGCGCTCCGGAAATCTGACTGCCGAACAGCTGGCTGCTATCGAGGACGAGGAGCTCCTCGATAAAATGGTACTTCACACCCAAGTATTAATTCTGCGTGATTTAGGTTTGAAAGCACCACTTTGTAACAAATACAGCAGCTTCAGAGGGTTTATGTATCAACACTAGATCTTACCACTTATGTGAGAGAATATTTGGAAAAGTCTCAGCCCGGTTGTGTTGTGTGTTTCTCATGTCTATGTTAGAACTGCGTGCATAATTAGAGCCATGCCACTTTGGCTTTTTGTGAGGAATGATCTCATTGTTTCCGTTGTGTGTTTTTTTTCTTTTCTGTCCACAGCTCGATGAGTCAAAAGACTTTGAGGAGAGGAAGATGATCCGTGCGGCCATGAGAGACCTTCGCAAGAGAAAGAGAGGTAACAGATGATAGATAAACAACCTCCTATCTGTTACCCCAACCACATGAAAGCTTTTGCTCCATTCATTTTGTCTTGACTACTGCTGTCTTTCATATCATCAAACTGCCTGATGACTTTTAATTTACTTTTTTCCCCTTATGATTATGATTTTTTTACTTTACAAACTTTAAACAAACTTGAAATTTCCACATGCTTTCTATTCATTCTGCCCTCAGAGGCCATGTTGGGATGTACTCAGGAGGAAATAGGTATTGCAGGTTGGTGTGTGCATTAACAACTGATACTTGCCTGTGTTTGTCTTTTTGTGTGCACCATCCTGTCATTGTCAAACTACAACAAGTTTACCTGTGAGATCTCTGTGGTGGATGATGAAGGATAATGTTGACAGTTGTTGTTAACGTGCATGACTCCTGGTTTCACACTCACCTCGACGTGCTGCAACAGTGTTACTGAGACGTTTGCTGCATTCAGTGTATTCTGTGTTTTGCAGTGAGCACCCACCATTTGTCTTCACCAGGCATCTGGTTGCATTGAGCTGACAGTTAAACCTCCTAATTGGATTCCTAGATCTGTAATAGTTCAGTGCACTCAGTGGCATGGGGCATACAAAGGGCAAAGAAATATCAGACAGAGCAAAACAGAGGGTTTAACAATAAATGTCTGCACAGTATGTTTAAATACACTCTCAGGTAAAAGCTGGAGGAAGTGCTGCAGGTATCAGTGTTCTGGACATTGCTGAACTTGGCACAGTCCTCCATAGGGGACGATCAGGGTGCGTTTGCTCTTTTTGATCTGTCATGTTTGTGCAGTACATATTGCTTGACAGCTCTGGCTCGCCTGCAAGTCTCCCACCTGTGGGTGTTAGTGTGTTCAGAGGAATTTTACGGTACTGTGGAAAAAATCCTGAAATGTATCACCTCAAATTTGGAAGCCCTGTTTTAATCCATCTTTATGGCAGTCAGATGAGGTCCTGTCAGTTTGTTTAGGACCTTTTGTCCTCCTCCTCCTCTTTTTCCACTGACATCATCTCTCCACCTCTCTGTCCCCTCTGTCCTCTCAACTCCTCTCTTCTCCTCCACCTCAGACCAAAGAGAAAAGGAGCGCGAGACCCGTCTGCAGGAGCTCCGGCAGCAGAGGGAAGAGCGAACACAGAAAGGCCGCACTGGGGTCGGAGCAGGAGAGGTGGTGATGAGGAAAGTGGAGAAGTCCGCGGATGGCTCCAGCCACAGCCAAGTCACCAAGACAGACCGCTTCGCTTCATCTGGTAGTCTTTTCTGTTCTTTTCCTATGCATTTCTGAACCTTGTTTAAACCTGTATTTAATCACTCAAGTCAACAAAGAGGCAGTTCTTATTTACAGTTGGACGGCACAAAGGGCACCTTGGGAGGAAAAGGAAAAAATAAACAGTAAAAGCAGATGGAAAATCTAATTATAAGGATACTGACAGTCATTAAATGAATGTGTACCATATGTATATAATTTAAAATGTGTGTTTGTGTTTTTAGATGATGGGAGCAGATCAACACGCAGCACTGTCATCGAGGCCAGTTATGTGCAGAAAACAGACAGTGAGTCATTACTTTCATTTGCTCTGTGGCTCTCTTACAATACTGTGTAGTCATTACATCACTAACATCCTTCATGTGTCCATGTGTTTACTACCTTAGGAGGGACAGTCCAGTCAAAGTCATACAGCTACAGCTCTTCCACATCATCCTCCTCCTCCTCCAACACAAGCAAAAAAGTGGGCAGGTAGGTTCTGAAACATCAGCACAGTAATTATACTCAATTGTAAATCCCTGCACTTTCACAAATTAACTTGCTCTATGTGTCCCTGCCTCAGTGTTTTTGATCGGGAAGATGACACATCGTCTCGCAGTGGCAGCAGCGGGCTGGCCGCAGTGGAGCGAAGGCAGGCAGAGCGGCGCAAGGAGTTAATGAGGGCACAGACACTGCCGAAGACCTCTGCCATGCAGGCCCGCAAAGCCATGATAGAGAAGCTGGAGAAGGAGGGAGGCGGGTAAGAATAAACATCGAGGCCTTACTACCAAAGAAAGAAAAAGGAGCAGGTCAAAGCATGTAAATATTAACCTGACTTTTTTTTTCTTTTTTAAGCCCTGGAAATCAGGCGGTGGCCAAGGTAAACAAGGTCCAGCGTTCCACCAGCTTTGGTGTACCCAACGCAAACTCCATCAAGCAGATGTTGCTCGACTGGTGCCGTGCCAAGACCCGCTCTTATGAGGTGAGCCAAGCAGCCACGGCAACCCACCGTTTGTTTACTGCTCATCTTTTATGTCAGCCAGTGAAGTTGTACCTGATGATAAAGACAAGATAGGCTGAGATAATATTTTCCTACTTTGGAAATGTTTCCATCACGTATCCATCACTGGTTCCATATCTGTTCTATTTATCTTCTCTCTCAGCACGTCGACATTCAGAACTTTTCATCCAGCTGGAGTAACGGCATGGCATTTTGTGCCCTGGTGCACAACTTTTTCCCTGAATCCTTTGACTACAGCTCTCTGAGCCCGAGCAACCGCAGGCAAAACTTTGAGGTGGCCTTCAGCACTGCAGAGTGAGTACACACGAGAAAACACGTTTGTCCCAGTAACATGTCCACTAACCACATCAGGTCTGTTATTGTTGTTAAGTTTGACTGCGAGTCAGAGCATCAACTGACCGCATCGACTGCAGGAGCCTTCATTTGTGTTACAGGGACACTTTGCCAATTTTCAACCAGCTTTGTATCATAACAATGTGAGTAGTATGTGTAAAGGAACCGAGGTAAATTTCCCTCGATCTTACCAATGCCCAGATCTCCCTGCCCATCTTGACTGACTCTAGGGCTGTCGCTCAAACTACAGAGTGTACTTGTGCATTTTCTTATGCTGGCCACCATGGCCACAAAGAGTGCAGAAGCGGTTTGAAAGAGAGACTTGCTCCTTTTTCTCTTTCTCAAACTCAAACTCAGACCAAACTCAAGATCAAACTGTAAAACTAGGCAGTGCTGATCAAATATAAACCAAGTTTCTGTGACTGTATTGCCTATTTCTTTCCTAAAATGACTTCAGACACATATTTAAGTGCACTGTTTGGCTGTATATGAGAATCTGTGAACAAGAAGCGATGTCACTGTTTCCTGTATTGTAAAAACAAAGGCTGAAAATACTGAGATCAAACAGTACAGCTAAGCAGTGCTGATAAAATGTGAAACTAGATTCTCTTACTGCATTGCCTGTGTCTTCCCTCAGAGGTTTATAGAAACTTATTTTAGCTTACCGTTAAACTGTGATTTGAGATTTGTTACTAGTCAACTGCCATATTGTTTCCTGTGGAAAAATGGCCAAGCTTGCAGGAGCGTTTATTAGTCACAGCCCTTTTTCTCTGGTCATGTAGCATTAAGTTCAAAGTATTTGTGTCTTTCTGCTGCATAGACAGCCTCGTTTCCAGTAGTGAAATACTTCTTTAAGCCTGGTAGAGAATGTGATGAAACCAACAGAAGAAGCTACTACAGGCTGAGCTTTCCTCAGACGCTATTTTCCGACCAAGGCAGCTGTGCAGTGAATACACAATTAAACTCAAACAGTCCAAGCCAGCTCTCCAAATTAACACATTTCCCTTCTTCGCTTCAAACAGACTTTTTCACATCATTTTCTTGTTCCTATGAGAAAATTCGCTTCTGTAATCCAATCTTTGTCGACATCTACTTGAACCTAAAGCACAGAGACGGACCGAAAACTCAAGGAAGTTCCTCAGCTGATGTCCCAGTGTTAACTGTCCCTGTCTCTCCCAGGTGTATCGAACCACCTCCAGGCTACCACTACTCTAATTACTCCACCTCTAAACCTCCACTCTCCATCTGTCCGCTACTATGAGTAACTGCTGTGACACTCTCCATCTGCTCTAAACCAGAGACCCATGAGCAAACCCTTCCCAAACAACCACCAGGTTAAAAAAAAAAAAAAAACGACAAGCTTTCGGCTATGCCCCCAACATTTCTCCTTCTTCTTTTACTCCTAATCTCTCTCCTTCTTCTCTTTCTTATGTCTCTTGCGTCACACCATTCTCACTTGTGATGCCCCCCCACCCACTTGTGTGTGTGTGTTCACATGCTCCCAGTAGGTTACTGTCCATGCTGATGATGTTGATATTATTCATGCTCTCAACACCAGACTGTCACCCAACCACAGCCCGCGTCTTTCCACCTTTGTGTTGCACCATCACTCACTTCCCCAGGCACTCCCCAGCAGTTTGCTGTTATCTGGAATCTCAACACACACACACACCCACACACACTCCATCCTGTTCACCAGTGTGTTTTTTAGAGTCACCACATGGTTGTGTTTTTGTTTGTTTGTTTTTTGCAGAATCCTTGTTGTTTTTTTCATTTTATCTGACAGAACCCAGTCATATTGAAATGATCAAAATTCGCACAGAAAAAAACAACAACAAACAAAAGGGCTAAATGAGCGTCACCTGCTCATTTGACGTTTTGTTTTGTCTCGTGTGTGTGTGTGTTTGCCACATATTGTATGTATCATGATGTTCATGAAGCATGTCAACTCATGGATATGTTTGTGAACACACAGAATGTAATGTTATTGTTTATTTTTGTGTAATTTCTCTCCCTCTGTCTCTTCACCCTGAATCTTTTTTCATTTGGCTGCTCACTGCTTTATCTGTTTTTTTTCTTTCCTCTCTTTCCCACACTTTGTCCACTATCTCTGTCCTGTTCGTTCTCTCTTCTTCTTATCTGTACTTCCTCCTCCTCCTCTTCTTTGTTTCTATCTGTCTGGATCTGCCTTTCCTTCCTGTCCTCGTCCTCCCCCATCTCTCTACCCCCTCTCCCTGCTGGGTGCGGGCACAGGAAACTAGTGGACTGTCCCCAGCTGTTGGATGTGGACGACATGGTGAAGATGCGCGAGCCAGATTGGAAGTGTGTGTATACGTACCTGCAGGAGTTCTACAGGGGTCTGGTGACGAAGGGCCTGGTTAAAACCAAAAACTCCTCCTAGAGTTGCACCGCAACTAAAACTGAACCCATGGTGAGAGAGGGGGCAAACCTGCCGTACAAAGGAACCTCACTTTGGTTCTGACTGACTTAATGGGGTGAAGGGAGTGTGTGTGTGTGTGTGTGTGTGTGTGTGTGTGTGTAACTGCATGATTTAAGCAGCTGTGAGGATTTAAATCAAACGTGGTGGGTCAGAAAACTCCTTTATTGGCTGCTTTTGGACATTTGATCCTTCATGTTAATCTGAAGCTACCGAGGTCCAAAGTACCAAACATGGTATGCATGTGTGTGTCTGTCTGTCCATGTGTGCATTTCTGCATAGTCAGAGACTATGGCCCAGGCGGAGAGCCAGGACCATCTGCAGCTCAACACTTTAAAAGGAACTGCTGCATCACAATGTTTCAAACAGAGAAGTTAGGAAACAAAGCAGGGAACGGAAAAGGCTGCATCGTCCACTGACTTTTTATCGCGTGTGAATTTACAGCTGTTTACGCTCGTAAAGCCTTTTAGAGGCAAAGTAATAGTAAAGTGCACAATGACCCCGAGTCTACAGTTTGTTAAATAACAAAAACGAGTTGATGCCGTTGACATTTACTTTATCGTGTGAGAGATTTACCCGTGTGCTGTCCTGTTACTCTACACTTTGTTTGTGTAGGATGTCTCAGAGGGTTTACAGTATGTGGAGATGTAATGCCACCCTGTGGTCACTCCTTGCATAGCTCACACGTGAGGTCTTTGTTCCTAAAAGTGTTTATTGAAACACGCTGCATTACTGAAGTTTATTTATAGAGAGCTTTTAAGGGGTTTTACACACAGTGCTTTAGAGAAAACAGAGACAAGAAAGGATGAAAGAAGTAGAAGATGACCACAACAAGGAAGAGCTTGAGTTCATCAGTGCAGAGGTGTGTGTGTATGTGCGTACTAGGGATGTTCCTAACTAATTTTCCTGACATCCTGGAAGTTTAAACACAGACTAGTCGACTCGTCTAAAAGGAAGAAAACACTTAGAGAAACAGTCAAATTGAGCCTGATTTAATCTATAAGGTTGAATATAGGTAGAAAATATTATTGTGTACATTATGAGAGACATTTAAAATCATTCATTATATTTATCGATAACTGAATCATATTTTAAATGCACTAAAATATGGCATTTTGGACTGTGCATTATTAACATTGCACATTAGCCTACAAAACATGACAGCAGCTCACCAAATACACGTTAATAATATTATTTATTTACTGTGTATCTAACCTCCCAAATAATTTTCATTCAAAAATGCACACTCATGCGGTATCTCTGTCATGCATGAGCAAACTGACACACACAAAGACAGGTCCAGGTTATATTCATGACTGTGCTGCTAGTTAGTCTCACCGATTTAAACTCTTCCCATTGTCCTCTGGGTAACATTCAACCAACTAATATTTCGGGAGCTGCCTAGTGAGGCTAGTAAAGTTTGATCGATTAATATTGCACACCCCTAGTGTGTGTTGTGTGTGTGTGTGTGTTTGTGTGTATGTGTGTGCATAAGGCTAGCTTTTAAATACCATTGCTGCTCCATTACTTTTGTTAATAACCATGCGAAAGCACCTGATGGACGATTAAATCTGAGTAATAATGACTGAACATCTGAAGAGAATTATCCACCTCTCTCTTCCATTTCTGGTCCTCTACCTTTCCGTCTGTTCATCCTGCTCTCTCTCACACACACCGTCTCTTGTATGCTGTTCCTCAGGACATACGCCAACTGCATGCCTCTGCTGGAAGTGGAGGACATGATGATCATGGGCAATAAACCTGACTCCAAATGCGTCTTCACCTACGTACAGTCTCTGGTCAACCACCTGCGCCGATACGAGATGTCCATGGGTCGGCCCTGTGACCTCTGACCTGTGCTCAGTGAGCCTCGATGCCTCCCTCTCCCAACCTCTCCCTAAGCTCAATCGCCACCTGATGACTGCCTCCGCACTGACGGGCTGAGTCACAGAGTTGCTCATCTCTGATAGACACGTTGGGGATTGTGTGTGTGCGTGTGTGTGTGTCAGTTTTCTTATTACCTGTGTTGGCAGTGGTGATGTGTATTCATTGTTTCATTAACACACAGTCCACCTTCCTCCAGCAAGAGAGCGCCAAAGTTTTTATAACACAACCTTATAAGCTTTAAAATTTTACTCTTTTTAATTTTTTGTACTGTTTGTACCGGGTCATATTTAACACACAGACATTGTGTCACGACGCTAGTGTACTGAAAACACATCGAGACAGAAAAAAGAAATATTTTTTATAGTATTTCCCCTTTTTAAGTTATTTATACCTACATATTTCTCTGCTACACTTTTGTAACAAGTACTGTAATTTGCTCGCATTTCTTTGGGTGATTCCACAAAGGAAGAAAAATACACTCAACCTTAAGATGGATTTTCATTTCGGTACTTCTTCATTTTTACCAAACTCTGGCTGCTTAAAGTATTTTAATTAAGTTATTACTATTCTCATGTTAATGTTATCAGTTAGCATATTTACCATTTAATTCATGAGCACAGGGATGTTCTGTCGTAATTGTTCAAACGGATGCAACATTGTTATGAGTAATGTCACCTTTCTGAACTCTACCGTGCTACTGAGAACATGTGTCAGATTATTATCATATTATTCTAGCAGCAAAAAATGCATGCAGTAAAACACTTTTTTATTCAGGTAGAAAGAAAACAACAGGAGTTTGTTGTAGTCTGATGTCATACAGCTGAATCGTATCAATACTTGATGTTTCTTAGCGCTTGACTGACAGCATATGTGCAAAATAACATGTATAACAGAGCTACCGTCATCCACCAGCATCACTGCCCTGCAAACACACTCACACACAGCTCTGTTAGAGGGCTCCTTATTTATGCTTGAGTAGATTTTTTTTTTCTTTTTGAAAATATATTGTTTTTTATTTTGTTAGTGTGTACATGATGCTTTTGAAAGCTCAAGCTATCACGATGTTTTGTCAAACTAATTGGGGTCACTTTTTGGTCGAGTTAACGGGCCCGACGAAAGCCGGCTTTCCTTTTAAACGTGAAAGATCATGACTGAACGTAACCGCCAATTGTATATTTTACAACTTGAAGCTAAGAAAATTTTTTAAATGAAAATGTTTATTCCGCTTGTAAAAATTTAAAATTCCTTTAAGAAGATCGTTCCAGAGCTGAATGAGCTTGATGAAACTTATTTCTTAAAGCTCTGTTTGAGTAGATTTAGAGAAATTATTTGAGGATTATTCCACCGCTGCCAGCTGAAAAACAAACATCTTCCATGGAGCAGTGAGTGCTGTACATAAGAGCTTAAACACATTATAATTTCACGTTTCTGTGCACCACAGTTAAATGTGAATTAAAATAAACAAATTTGAGAAATGAGTGCTTGTTTGGAATTATTGCTCTGAACTGTCTCGTGAAACACTATTTTATTTTCCACACCAGATTACTCAGTCTGTCGAACATGCTTCCATTCATACTCAGATTTACACAACATGAGAACATAAATATTCAACACAGCAAAGACTAAGAATGAGATTTTGAGATTTTTTTTATTATTTCATTCTTCTTTTTCTTTTTTTTTTTTTTACAACACTCCCACTAGAGTCCTCTTGTGTGCATCAGTCCAACCCACCAGAACATGTAACATCAGCCTCAGGCCATTCACACAGTTTTCAGTCTGAGGCTTCATTCAGTTTCACAGTAGGTAGGAAGCAATCAGACACACAAGAGAACTCAAGAGGAGCGAACATCCTGAAGACAGCTGACACATGATGGACCAAAACACAAAATAAAACACACACGTCCAGTCTTTGCGCAGAGAGTAGAAAAGCACTCACAAAGCAGCCTGTTAGATTATTATCGCTGCAAAAAATAAGAACAAACAGCAAGAACAATATGTGCAAATTCAGACTGTGGACCTTTTCAAAGGCCTTTTGCTGATGCTAAGATTGTGTCCTTGCCCAAGGACTGATCCATGATCTGCTGGTCTTATTTTGAAATGACAAACATTCCTGTCATCAACTGCAATAACCAGCTGGTCGTGGAGCAGCTTTGGGGCTTTAATGGTACTGTGAGATTCCTACTTTTCTCCACTCTGACAGGTTATAGATCAGTATGCTTGGCTTCTGCTTTGGGCTCTGAAGAGGCGTTTTCTGTGGCAAGAGAGGCAGTGGCGGATTTGTATGGCGGCTCGTCTTTAAACGGGCTGTCTTTGGCAGGGGAGAAGCGGAACTCCTCGGGCACCTCGTCCTCAGGTTCAGCCTTCTTGTAGAAGCCAAGCTTCTCCAGCAGATTGTTGATCTCAGAGCGGGTCATGTCGGACAGGGCAATCCGCTGTGGAGGACACATGCACGTTAGATTATAATACCATTTTAAGGGAATACTTCACCTACAAAAAGATCATTGTATATCAGTTACTGACACCCACCGTGTTATGTTGAATTCGTAAAGAAAACTTCTCTGCGATAAATAAAGAATCCAGACACTGAGAAAATTCTTGATGAGTGATGCAGGGGACCACGTTTACCAGCAAAACTATATCAAAACATCCCTTTACAAACCCTCACACAGCTTGTGCAGTATAATCCAAGTCTTTTTTATTCAGCCATATGTTCAGTCTTTCCCAAACACATGCATTTTTACTGAAGCCTTCCTATTTTAAACAATGTCCCATATGAGTAGTGCTCCTGGGCAAACATGCTTACCCAAGCACACTACTAATCCTTGCATGAAACTGTGTTTTTAATACTAAGATTGTAGTGAAAACGCATGTGTTTGGGAAGTGCTGAGCATACGACTGCATAAATAAGACTTGGATAAATACTGCATGAGCTACAGAGTTTGTAAATGGATGTTTTGATATAGTTTTACTGTAGTTAAACTAACTCCAATTCATCAAGACTTTTCTGTTCTTGGATTTCTTGTTCACCGTGGAGGCATGCAAAAAAAAAAAACTTTCTTCACAAAGTCAGTGTAACACAGGGTGAGTAACTGATATACTACTGACCACTGTCGGTCTTTGTTTCACTGTTATAATCATTAAAAAGCAAAAGCAGCATGTGTATACATTCAGTAGGCTATATCTTCAGTAGCTAGCTAGCTAACCCTACACTTTTCAGGGTTTGATTTTGGTTTTGGAACAGGGAAGAAACATGTATCTTTTTCCAACCTCTCCAGGTAACGAGTATCATTAATACACGATGTGCCCCAGGCACAACATTTAGCTCCATATCCACAAAACCAGCCTGAAAATGAAGGAAATCTGAAAAGATTGCATTAGAGTCAATGGAGCACAGCTGTGTTGTTGTTGGACCCTTGTCTGAGCCGGCCCAATGCTATGTTATGATTGGCCAATCTGCGTCTGGGGGCGGGACTGGCAACTATTTGACGAGAAATTTGCCATTAACAGCTTTCAGATGAGTCAGATGAGGGTTTACAGCTTAGTATAGAGTCCTACACATACATGACCCCAAAAAATGAATGCCATTACCATTATTATGCCTTTAATTTTTAACAAAGTGAAATGAAGCTAACTGTATAACTGGTTTAGAAAGACCTCACCCCACTGACTTCTACAGATCACTATGATAACTCTGGGAATGAATGGCTGAAACAACACACAGACTCTGATTTACACCACAGTTGTCTCATTATATCATATTATTTACGTTAGTTTTTTAGGATCCCCATTAGCTGAGTTTAACAAACAATTCTGTACATTACATACTTTCAAACATCACATTACACACACACACACACACACAAAAATCTTTATCTAAAATTAACAGGGGTGTAGGTTTTGTTTCTTCATTGAGAGATACACATGAATCGGGGTTTGTGGGTCGTCCTGCAGGAACTTTTGAGTGTCAAACATTCAATTTCCTGCATTCTGGTGCCTTTTCTGCATCAATTTACAGCACAAATCACTTTAATTTTGTCAAAATAAAAGTCTTTAGAGGCCTTAATGTTTTTATTTCGGGCGGACAAATATACATGGTCTATTATATTGAGAAGGAAGTGTCCTCTGTGTCCTATCCCCAAAATCTATGCCTATGACTACAGACAAAACTCAGGAGGTATGATTTCAACATTAACAACATTTTGTTTATTTACTGAGCTCCATCTTGTAATGGCTCTGTGAATTGCAGTAGATTTGCAAAGTTTTGTCATCTGTCTGGGTGGTAAGAGAGTAAGAGATATCCTGAACTGGACTGTCTTGTCAGATAGGTATGTTTGTTCTCTACTGATATACACTACTTTCTTGTTATTTAAGACATTCCTGAAAAAGATTAAAGATGCTATAATCACAGTCTAAGTCTACATATGGGTTTTTGAATATAATGCAAAACAAGTACAATACACTGCAAAACGAAGACTTACATCCAGCTCTTCGAAGTAGTGGTTCAGGAGGACAAGCTCAGGGTCGGCCCCAGGAATGTGTTTCATCACCAGGTTATGGCTGAGGTAGTCATGGTCAAAGAATATCATGGAGAGAAAATACTCGACTTTTTAGAGTGTGCAACTTAAAAGAGACATATTTAAGAACAAACAGCAGCAGTGTGCTTGAGTCAAAGGATACTAAAGAGGAATGTCCTGGACCACGAAGGCTTTGACCTGCAGACAGAGGAGGGGGGAATTAGTGTTATTTCACTCAGGGCTGTGTTCAGTGGTGGATCATGTGAAACCCTAGACATGAAAGGTAAAATGTCTGTCTGAGCAAACACTTTGACAGGGATTAGGCTTCAGTCTGCCGCTGACACTGGCTCTCAGCGTGTTCCTGTTGATTACATTGCAGAGGGGAACTTACCTCTCTGAGCCTGTTCAGCTGTCATCCACCACAGGTCTGCGAGGAGACACATAAAATAGAGGAAACTGTTACAAGCAGCTCTCAGACTTTGCAGTGGCACCCCCAGAAATGTTTCACAGAGGAATTATTTTACAGTTAATATTACTAACTAGTCCATACCCATTGAGTACAGCATACCATACCATGACTTAGTCATACTAAAAATTAGAAAAAAACCCCAAACATCCAGCCACAGGGGGAGCCACAGCGATTGGTCGCATTTTAGCCATTTTTAAGCATTTTTCTGTTGTTATAGCGCCACCCAGTTGACAATTAGAGTTAAATTTCTCCAGTCACCTTGAGGCGTCCTGTTCTACATATCTACCAAGTTTAGTAAAAATCAATATTAGGCGGTTAGGCCTAGATAAGAAATTAGCTCTCTAGCGCCCCCATTTTGGTTGATGGGGTCAATAATGGAGGGGTCTCCTCAGATTATGTGTGGTCATATGCCTACAAAGTTGCGTGGTGATCGGTGAAACCCTTGAGATGTTATATGATGATTATGTGATGAGCCACGCCCTCCGCAATATTAATTGCCTTATAGAAGCTCAGTTTTAGTAAGTTTTCCAACTTTTGCCAAGAGGGAACTTTAGATATTGGTCCCTAGATTATGTTCACCGAATTTCATGTAGAATGGTCAAACTTCCTAGGAAGAGATTGATTTTTGGTGTTTTTCAAAAAATTCAAAATGGCGGAAAATCAGTATCACCGGAAGTTATGGGTTCTTGAGGCAAATTTGTTCCTCATGAGGAGAGGCATCTCTGTGCAAAGTTTCATGTCTCTACGACATACGGGGCATGAGATATGCCCATTCAAAGTTTGCCATTTCAATCGGTTACTATAGCGCCCTCCTTTGGCCAATTGATGTAATATTGCTTCATTCGCATCCTCCCACGACCCTCTACCACTGTGCCAAATTTCACATGGATTGACCAAGTCAGTGAGGAGAAAAACGTGGAACAGACACACAGTAAGATTATATGATGTACATAGACTAATACCAACCCAGTTAACATTTTGAGTTCCACAAAAATCCTGATTTAATGAGTTATGTATCTTTAAGTACATGTTTGGTGATTTATTGTTTATCATATAGGCTGGTTGTCCTTTTCCTTAAGAAGACGAACAGCTTCAATCTGAGGGAGTACATTGATTGTAAGGACCAAAACATCTACTGGGGACAAGCCTCAAATTTAGAGGACACTCGTGGATACCCACAGTACCTATTTTCAGTCAGATATCTTGAGGTGAGAGTTCAAGGCACCCCTTTGAAAATGGTCATTCCAGTTATGTCCTCGCCAAAATTTTGCCTACATTTGTAGCACTGTTTAGCCCTCTTTCCAATGAGCTATGCTAATGTGGTTGGTACCAATGGATGCCTTGGGTTGTCTAGTTTCACAAGATACTAACTTTGCGATAGCTTCAGAAATGAGGGCGCCACATCCTCTTAAAGATAGCAATATCGGAATCCAAATTAAGTTCAGCGCGAGTTCAGTCAAGAAGACTTTCTTTATGCCATATCCATCCACAATTCTCTCTCTATCACACTCCTGCCACTCCCACTAAACAGCTGACTATGGGTGTTCCCTCTCCTGGTTAGCCAATCAAACTTTACCACAATCTCCATGTCGCACCCTCTTTACTACATTCAGCTCCTGTCACCTTATCCAGAGCCCAGGATGTGCTCCATAAATCCCACTCCTCTTCACACCCAGATCCTCAGCTCCCTCTTCATCTCATGTCATCACCACCACCAGCGTCTAGACTCCATGGGGATCCCTAATCTACTACGTCTTTACCACCCTCCTGGAATAGACGACATCACGATGGGGTCTAATCGCCAAAGACTTTTCACATTTCTCACACTTATATGCACATGTAAATAAATATTATTTCCTCTCAGAACAAGTCTCTACAGACTGAATTATTTTTGCCGAGGGGGGGGTAGCAACTGCATCGGGGCCCCTTCCCCCTCTGCCTTGGGGGCGCCACTGATACTTCAGAAATGGGACATCACCTGAATTAGGAATAAGATAACTGACACATTTGGGCCACTGAAATGTGTCTTTATGCATATTTTCCTTGTGGGGCTGCAGTGTTTCCTTGTTCAAAACCACTTCAGCAAGTTTCTCTAATGTCCTGGTATCACTGTAGCGTTGCATCCTCTGAGAGCACAGAATCAAGATAGGCTCCTGGGAAGGATGCCTAACATCCTTCTTGTGGGAATCTGAGCCGCAGGTATAGAGTAGCAGGTGTGACTAACACAACAATAGCAACAGATAACACGCTTTTCTTCAGGGTGGTGATTTGGTGACACCCTGGGGGAGAGTGCATAGTATCTCACAAAAAGGAGGATAGAGTTACAGAAACTTTTGTGCTGAAATCAGACCTGCAGTTACACGCCCTCTGTCCCTTTATATAAGAGTGAGAACTGAGTCACTTTGTTGCAGATTTGATGGTTATTACATGAAATATTGTTTTATAAGTGTGTTTAGTTGGGTGTACTGTAAAGGCATGGATCATCCAATTTACAGCAACATACTCCCCTGGATAAAGCACTCACGCACGCGCCCAGCACGCAGATTAAAGGAATAAAACGCATCCATTTACATATTTATCCTAATCTGACTCAGATAATGCACACACAAACACCCTCGGCCCACCGTCACTGTAAATACAATCACGTATGAAGCGTGTTACTGTACCTCCACCCTCGCCTTCGCCAGTCCCTCCAGTTTCTTCAGATCCACATCGTAGGCCGAGGCACAGTGGAGTAAACTGGCCAACACGATCAGCCACATTATGTCTCCTCCTGGTTCAGATCGTGGACCAGGACCGCTCCAGTATCAGTACCTGCAGACGTCTGAAGGTAAGTAACGTAACTCGGCTGTGGAAAGGAGGAGAGATGATGTGCAGCTATGTCACGTCCGGACCTCTTGCCACGTCAAATATTTCTCCCAGAGGAGAGAGAAGGAGGCGGGGAGAGGGCGCTCATTGGCTGTCTGACAGATCCCCATCAGGATACATTCAGTCCCTCAGTTGTGATGTGCAATCTGTGGTTAATCCTCGCAAGGAAATCTCCTTATAAAAATCATTAACAAAGCTGAAATATCGCCTGCTTAACTCTTTATTTATCTTATGTTGCTGCAAGCATAAGATGGCGGATGGGTTGTTTTATATTTAGAAATAATGTTGATAGCTACTGTAATAAAGGTCATACAACATTACTGCATAACCACAAGTGCCTATATGTGGCAGACAATATGGTAAAATGATCTGGAGGTTAATGAGATCCTACATGATCATATTCAAATTTATATTCTGTTTCAAATACATAAATAGCGGCAGAACGTGCATTTTTTCTTTTCTTTTTTTAAACTGTATCTACAGTGGCGTGCAAAAGTTTTGGGCACCCCTGCTCAAAATTTATTTTAATGTGAATAGTTAAGTAAGTAGAAGATGAACTGATCTCCAAAAGGCACACAGTTAAAGATGAAACATGCTTTTAAAGATTTTAAGCAAGATCAGTGTATTATTTTTATTTTTCACAAATTTTAAGTGGAAAAAATGTAAAGGAGGACCATGCAAAAGTTTGGGCACCACTCTCAGACAACTTTTACAACAGTGTCAGACCTTAATTATCCCTAAGAAAGGCCAGGTGATGCAAATTTCAAAGCTTTATAAATATTCTGACCCCTGTCAATCAGCAGCCATGGGCTCCTCTAAACAGCTGCCCAGCACTCTGAAAACTAAAATAATTGATGTCCACAAAACAGGAGAAGACTATAAGAAAATAGCAAAGCATTTTCAGGTCGCTGTTTCCTCATTTGGTAATGTAATTGAAAATGTCAGGTAACAGGATCTGTGGACATCAAGTTGAGGTGTGCAAGCAATTTTTTTGAGAAAGCTGCTTCTAGGATTGTTAGGAAGGCAAATCAAAACCCCCGTTTGACTGCAAAAGACCTGCAGGAAGATTTAGCAGACTCTGGAGTGGTGGTGCACTGTTCTACTGTGCGGTGATACCTGCACAAACATGACCTTCATGGAAGACTCATCAAAGGAAAACCTTTCCTGTGTCCTCACCACAAAAATCAGCGTCAGAAGTTTGCAAAGGAACATCGAAACAAGCCGTACGCTCTTTGGAAACAAGTCCTGTGGACTGATGAAGTTAAAATAGAACTTTTTGGAAGCAACAAGCAAAAGTGTGTTTGGAGAAAAAGGGGTGCAGAATTTCATGAAAAAAAAAAAAACACCTGTCTAACAGTTAAACACTGAGGTGGATCAATTATGTTTTCGGCTTGTGTTGCAAACTTTCAAGGGTAGAGGAAAGAATGGATTCAGTTAAATTCCAGCAAATTTTGTAAGCAAATCCACAATGGACGACCTCAAGAGGCACAAGCTGGTTAGAAAAAGTGTTTTGAAGCTGTGATACCTGTCAAAAGGGGCGCTACTTAGTAGTGACCATGCAGGGTGCCCAAACTTTTGCTTCAGGCCCTTCTCCTTTTTTGTTGTTCTACTAACGTAACTATTAACAGTAAACACAATTTTGACCAGGGGTGCCCAAACTTTTGCATACCACTGTATAAACTGCCTTTGTCTGAAATGTGCTTTATAAATAAGCCTATATGCAACACTGCATGCCTCATAAATTACTACAAAATTGAACTAATACCTCTGGCATAGTTAAAACAAAAACTGGACATTATATGTTTTTTTCAGAGGCACTGTTTATTGCAGGACTTCTGGACTGTGTTATATTGTAAAATGAACACAAGTATTTTAATTATTTTTCAAATTTTCCAAATGTTACTCCATGAGACAAGATTGTAGCTCTCTTGGAAGTGCACAATTTCAAAAGCAGTTCAGGAAACATCAGATGTGAATTTGATCCGATGAGTTGCAAAGGAACATCCTGTAAAGGAACCCTGATGGGATATAATGAGAAAAGCAGCAAAGACTAACAATAGCCACAGGTTATGACACGTGCACACTGATTTATCCTGCACAAAGACCTGTGTTGCTGTCAGTATGATTCATCACAGAGGAACAAGACAAACAGCCCTGCTGATCCACACTAGAATTATAGGCCTGTTGAAAGGATGGAAATATGAAGACATAAGTAGGTTATTTAACTTATTTCTACTCTGTAATACCTGGGCCAAAAGGCTGCAGAAGTTTTTGATACTGTGCTATATCAATACTTCCCATGAATTCCCAGCAACCTCAGGAAGGCACATGATAATATAGTGTTGGAAATGCCTCACTGTATCATATATTATAAGGACAAACAAAAACCATAAACTTCAGTATGTCACTGTCAATGTTATATCACTGTTGAGTATTATAGATATGCTGTAAATTATTTTGCATAATAGAAGGATACAGTGTATGAGTGTATTGTACTTGCAGTCAGATTTCAACACGTCCTGCAGCATTTCATTTACCTCTGCATACCTGCAGTAGCTTCAAGCGGCATGTTTACCACATTTACTGTACTGCTCTGCTTTTCCCAACAAACTTTGGCCTCAAAGGGCACACACACACACACACACACACACACACACACACACACACACACACACACACACATACACACACACACGCTAAGACACAGTTTTTGACTCATTCATTTTATAAAGGCTGCAGGCATTTAAGAGGTCATGGAGACAGATGAGGTGCCCTCAGGTGTTGCCATAGCAACACCTTTTCCCATGCTTTGGTTCAGAGGTGTTTGAGCCTCTGAGAAGTAAATACACACGTTTTAATGGTTGTATGGCTGCAGGAGCACCATTTAAGTCTTTATTTAGATGTCTTTACGTGCAATCAATCTGATAAGATTTTGGGTAATAATCAGCCATGATGAAAGGTGAAACAACTAACAACTAAGTTGCCCTTTTATTACATTTATATCATCCTGAAGAACTTCCAGTCTGAGTTTCAAATCTAAGTCTGAGTGAAACTAAATTCAGTGAAACAGATTCTTTGGTTATGTGCACAATCCTGATTTTGTGCTTTGAAATCTCCTCTCGTTGCCAAAACAGCAACACATAACTTTGAAGATCTGTGACAGAAAACAAAGGCCCACCGCTCAGCTCACTCGAATCTGGTGACACAGTTCCTCTCAGCCTTAAAACATCTATTACATTCATGTTTCTGGATCCTGTTCAGTCTTAAATTAAGGAGTCGTTATCACCAGAAGGAATTCTAGAGTCTGAAGGGCAGAAATCTCATGGGACTCATTCAACTGTCATTGTGAAGCAAGTCGTGATTGATACTGATATTAGAAGCACTTTAGGTGATGGACAAGCTCTAAGACATTAAAGCAATAAAACAATGAAATAATATAAGAAAGATAAACTCCTTTGAAATTATTTTTGTACCAAAGATGTTCAGTTTACACGGTAAAATAATAATATAGGATAGAAATACATACACAGTTTACAAAATAAAGGCCCAACATACATATGTCAGTTACAATGTTCCACATTACAAGTGATTAATAAACTTTAGAGAGCGGTTCATCTGTGTAACTACATTTGTGATTAGAACTAAAAATAATGTGTTATTTTGGAAACAATATAAGCTGTTGGGGCACAAATTGTGTTCCAAATGTTCACATTACAAGGATGGAAATACATAGTGTGACTTGAAAATGAAAAAAAATGTTCTGCACGTGAATTGGCTTTGCTAATTTGATTCATTTAAATTTTTGTAAGGGAATGTGCACCAGTAAAGGACATTATTACATTAATGTTGTGGCCATGCCTGGTAGAGGGACACGGTGTCAACATGTAGTAAGGGCTGCTCTTAAGAGGGGAAAATGGAAAGATTTCTTGGGCCCAGGTGTTCGAGGAGTCCATGGGGCCAGCAATAATCATGTTCATCCAAAGCAACAACCTCCAGGGTTGATAAATGAAGCCAACATGGAAGTGCTACAAACTGCAGTTCTTTGAACGGCTGCTTGAGGTTGGCTCTAGGAGCCTGTCAATCCCTATAGACCCCAAAATTCCCAGCTTCACAGCAGTAGGCGTGTTCACAGCTTGGTACATAAAACAGTTTTGATCTCTATAGCAAGTTTCCTTCACCTCCATGACAACTGTACGAGGGGTACAGGGCTGCATTAAGTGACAGGCTGTCTGCCGATAGTGTCCTCAGCTTCTCAGTCAGATCCACCCTTCGCTCCTCCATATCACCAGCCTCTTGCCCAAATATGGTCACGTCTGGCACCAAAAAAGCAAGATGGCGACGGCCAAAAAGCCAGACTTGAGGTTTCAAAACGGGAGTCCAAAAAACAATCAGTGATGTCAGGGGAGCCACATCCATTATTTTTACAGTCTATAGTTCATCCTAAATACTGTATGAGAATTGGTAATCAGTTTACTTTGAACTAGGGCTGGGCAATATGAAGGTATTATATTGTTATCGAGATATGAGACTATATGTCGTTGTATCGTAATGGCACAAATGGTGTTTTTTCCACTCGCTTTAAAGGCTGAATAACAGAAAAAGTGATGTAAATTTATCAATTTACCAGACTTTTTATTTGTTTTAATGCTTGCCTTGCTGTGCTGTGAAAGCGTAAACGCAATCACATCACACCAATCTTGGCCTCGCTCCACTGGCATCCAGTGCGTTTTAGAACTGATTTTAAGATTTTATTGATCGTTTTTAAAGCCCTAAATGGGCTGGCACCCCCTTATTTAACTGAACTCCTGCACTTTCATGCTCCCTCCAGAGCCATGAAATCAGCCAGTCAGATATTACTGGCTACTCCTAGGACTAGGCTGAAGACCAGAGGTGACAGAGCCTTTGGGGCAGCTGCCCCTAGGCTCTGGAATAGCCTGCCCCTGCACATTAGGTCTGCCCAGACCCTAGAGGTTTTTAAGTCTTTTCTTAAAACCCACTTCTTCTCTCAGGCTTTTAACTCAGGTTGAGCTGGAC